ACCCTATTTCCTCTAAAAGATGATAAAACACTCTAGCAACACAGATTACAAGCTTCAATACAAGAGTCTCACTCCCATTGGCATTCGAGAGGCCAATCTCTCCTTACTATTCCACTCTCATTCTTCTTGGCCCTCCCTTCCTAAACAAAAGACTACTAATACCTTCAGTGGCTGACACATAGCCCATACTACCCAAAAGATCCCAATCATTACAAAAGATCACAAAATACTGTTCCTTACGGCTATGGACCGAAGGGTAAACTTCTAGACTAGTTCAAGTATTTCCACTAGAGTTATTCTTCCCCTTTGACTTCCTCTGATATGTCTTGGGAAAATAACGGGCCCTATCAGATTTGTTTTCCCATGATTTGCTAGTCTTTTTCCCTTTTGTTTGAGAAATAAATTGTGTTTGAATGTGTAATGCAAATCTGCTCTCAAGAACTTAGTCAGCATTAAGACAGGTGGTCAAAATGAAATGCAATTACTGATTGAATTTCAGTCAGTTTATTGCCTATAGCTGTTCAATGTAGAAATAGTTGCTCTTTGGCATCCTGTCAATGTCAGGATGTAAAAAAATTCGAACAGACTTCTTTTTTTCTTTTAATAGAAATGCTGGTGAGTGTTATTTAATGATTGTCCTTCAGTTTAAATATTCACCTTGCCGCAATTGTTGTGTTATCTGAGCAATGAATTACTTTGCTTAGGAACTGCTTGCCTTTTTATTGGATGGGCTGCATGAAGATTTGAATCGTGTGAAACAAAAGCCTTACATTGAAATGAAGGACTCAGATGGTAGACCAGATGAAGAAGTTGCATATGAGTGTTGGAAGAATCACATTGCTCGGAATGATTCATTGATTGTTGATGTGTGCCAAGTGAGTACTTCTATCTATCCACACAATTTACTATCTAAATTGCAGCTGCCTTCTCAATGAAATGAAAACAAATTAAATTATTAAATTGTCATCTCTGTTCTTGTTATGCTCTTTATCACTTCCTTGTGATTTCTTCTAGTATCTTTTGTGTAACTTTGTTTGTAATTCTTTCTTTGTAGGCTTCACAAGAAATAGAATATACTTTCAATCATGAAATTGTTATCTGTGCTTGTTATGTTTGTGGTCACTTGTGATTTCTTTTAGTATATGCCTTTTCTGTACCTTTTTTTGGATGAAATCTTTTCTGTATCTATCTTTTAGCATCTCTCTTTTCTGTACCTTTATTCATAGTTGAAGTGCATATAGCTACAGGGTACCTTGACTAAGGCTCATTATAATTGTTATTTTGCAATAAAATGTTCAGGGTCAATACAAGTCAACGCTGGTCTGTCCTGTCTGTCGCAAAATCTCAATCACTTTTGATCCCTTCATGTACTTATCTTTGCCACTTCCTTCTACTGTCACAAGAATGATGACATTGACGGTCTTTTATGGTGATGGAAGTGGTCTTCCAATGCCGTACACTGTGACAGTTTTAAAGCATGGTTGCTGTAGAGATCTTTGCCATGCTTTGGACACTGCATGTTGCTTGAAGAGTGATGAGATGCTTTTGCTTGCAGAGGTAAATACATCTTGAAAAATTATGTTTAGTTTTGGATTTTCTATATGACTTTGATTGCGTTGTTTGATGTTACATACTTCTTGCTTAGGTTTACCAGCACAAGATTTATAGATATCTGGAGAACCCTTTGGAACCACTGTCTTCAATAAAGGATGATGAACATATCGTGGCGTACCGATTGAAAAAAGGAGCTCAGAAAACAAAACTAGAAATAATTCATCGATATCTAGATAGGTAAGCTTACTCTTTTGGTATATGGTTTCACATTATGCTTGTACTTGAAATATTATAAAGCTCTGGATTTTTATTACCCTTTAACGGTATTTTTCACTGTCTGAAATAAAGTAATGGCTGATTCAAACCAAAACTTTTTGGAGATTTCTATCTAGGTTGTATTAAAGGCTTTCACTTTGATATCTGAAGTGGTTATGCTGTGATATAATGTGGATATTCAGCTGTACATAATTATAGTTTGTTATATGATGTTGGGAGCCAAAGTGGATTTTGATTTCTCAAAAGGAACTGATCTTTTAATTTCTCGGAATTTTTAGTTGTTACCTATTCTGGTATGCTTCTTCTGAATAACCTCATCATGAACATAATGGTATTTGTTCATCTGGGACGTGGTCATGGCAGATGAATGCCACCTGCCTCTTTCTCTGTGAGAGCAGAAACTGTTATTCAATCATCTCTCTACCTGTATTTTTGTATCTTGAAAATAATATTTTTGTAAATATGAAGCAAAACTGAAACAGTTTTTGTAAGGGATTTTGGTGAGACGATGAACGTATGAATGTGACACCTGCCTTCATTAACATGTAATTCCTGTTCGTAATTTTATTTGTTTAAACTATTGGAAGATTATTTTCCTAGAATGTTTTCGATGCATTGTTTAGTGTCTCAGTTGCTGGGTGTTTCAAGCTCTACAGAATCTTGTAGGCGCCATTGTATTCATTGAAGTTGACACCTGCTACACAGAATTTCTTATGGGATCCTAACCCACAACCATATGCTTATGAGGCTTAGTAAGGGAGAGGGGGAGAGGGATGTTTTCCATAGCATGACTGCAGAACTTATTGTTAGAGAGATTTCACTGACTTGTTCCTGATGCATTTTCAAGGCTTATGCTTTCATTACTTTGTTCTTGGTTGATCTAATGCTTCAATTACCCAGATGTTCGATGGATAATACCAAGGGTGGAGAAAGAAAGCTCTTTGGAACTCCCTTGGTGACTTATGTGGCAGAGGAGCCTCTATATGGGGCCAACATTGAGACCTATGTTGATAGATTGCTGTCACCTCTAAGAAGAGCATATTCTTCTGTAAAGTCTCATAATGAAAAGGAAAATGGTTTCTTAGTAGACAGTGGTGATCAATTAAATGGATCCAATGCTGAAGGTGTACCCAGATACCAGACAATTGACGGCCGAAAACAAGAGGGGAATTCCAGTGGGGAAATGTTTTTCCAGCTTGTTTTATCCTCAGATAGACCTTTGAGTTGTACTCTCATTGAGAAGGATTCTCCTATAAAACCTGGTCCTATCATTAGAGTTTTTCTTGACTGGACTGACAGAGAACATGGTTTATATGATTCCAGCTATCTCAGGGATCTGCCTGAGGTTCACAAGACAGGGTTTACTGTGAAAAAAACCCGGCAAGAAGCCATTTCTTTATTTTCATGCTTGGAGGCATTTTTAACTGAAGAACCTTTGGGCCCTGATGACATGTGGTAAGAGTGGCTAAATTTCCTTTAATTGGGGCTTTCATGTGACATGCGAGCTTTTGGAAAATATATTCGTCTAACCTATCCTTAAAATATTTAATCAGGTACTGTCCTAGATGCAAGGAGCACAGACAAGCTACCAAGAAACTAGACTTGTGGAAATTGCCGGATATACTTGTTTTTCACTTAAAAAGATTCTCATACAGCAGATATTTGAAAAACAAACTCGACACCTTTGTAAATTTTCCCATTCACAATCTCAATTTGACCAAATATGTGAAAAGCAACAATGGACAGTCTTACGTGTATGACCTTTATGCAATCAGCAACCATTATGGAGGCCTAGGGGGTGGGCACTACACTGCTTACGCAAAGGTAATCTCTTCATTTTTCAACCTAGTGGATTTTGTGACATGTATTGCCATTTTAATTTGTGTGATTACCCTATTCGAGATGCTCTATTTGACGCTGCATTTATCATATCTATTTTATACAGTTGATCGATGAAAACCGATGGTATCATTTTGATGACAGTCAAGTCACCCTAGTGGATGAAGCGGAAATCAAATCTTCAGCCGCGTATGTGTTATTTTATCAAAGAGTAACCCCAAAGGAAGGGGAAATATCTCAGGGTCACACAGTTTCTTGAAGGCATCAACCGAGGACTCTGCGTTATTCCCTGGTTTTCCTGCTTGTCAGGATGTTGGAACTCATGCCAATCAGAGCACAGTTTTTTGGTGCATAGGTATTTGGTTATTCAGTGCAAACTGGGTGACCTAAGATTTCTAAGACACAATACCATTGTGCCAGGCGTGGCGGGTAGTAATTTTTAGGCGAGGATCCAGCCAAACGTGCAGGGTAGGTGTAGGATTAATCATCGATTCCTACGTAATTGATAGCGTTTCTAGTTACAAAAATTTTGGCAGCCTATGAAATTGCTCATTGATTTGTGTCTTTTCATTAGACTGTACGGGGTAAAACGTGGTCATCGTTGTTTATCAAGAGGCATACCCTGAATGTCGCCTTCGCGTTTAAGGAAGATTTTGTACCAACTTTTCCTTATTCTTGTTGTGGGTAATCTGGAACCCAACTTTACTTGCTAGTTTACCTGCAATGTATGTAAGATGTTACAATCAGCAGCTGAGTGTATTAAATTTGTTTTACAAGATGTCCTGGTCGCTTCAAGGATATCTGATAAAATTGGAATGATAAAAAAAGATTAGCATGGCACGCAAAAATCGAGAAAAAGTGTCGTGGGACAAATTTCTTCTCCATCAAAGAGAACTGTACATACAAGGGCATATCACAGACAGACAAAAGCAGAATTTAAAGATTAAGTAGTTAAACAATATTTGAACATATTTTGTGCGCTTAGATTGTGGAACAGAAAGTAGACTTCTCGAAATAATTAAATTTGGTTTTTGAAACTTTTTTTAAATAAAAATGTTTGGCTTGTGAACGTTAAATGAGAGTTGAGTGAAAAGTAACAAGCTGTTAATTGAAGTAGAATTTGTCTTGACTGGTAATTGAAGTAGGATTAGCTATCAATTACTATTTATTACTTACCCGTGTTTTTCTGTTTTACGTTTCATATCATTCTTAAACATTGCTCAGCAAAACAATACTAAATTACATATGAAAGCAAGTCTAAAATAACAGATTTTCTTTTCTCACCTCGGTCAGATTTTTTTTAATCGCTTCATCAGTTTAATGCCTACTACTTTGACGGAAAAAAATAGTACTACATTAAATTTATTTGATATTACAAAGTAAAATTAGAAATTTAATACTAGATTTCTCCCGTTTATAGAAAAGGAAACTACAATTATAAAGTAAAAATAAATAAAGAAAACCAGTACAACATCATTTATTTCTAAAGACCCAAGGACTGGTGGCAAGATGTAACTGCAAAGTCGAACAGTCTCGAGGCCGAAATTATGATGGAGAATTCCATAATGCATCCAAGTGGTCGACGGATCCTATGACGATGGAATAGCGCCTTGTTACCCGGACTTAAATAATTCAAAGAACATCATTACCAGTAGCGTACAAGCAAAGGAAAGAAAACAGTTTGTTTGGCTTTTCTGTTCTCCACTTTGAGTCATCACTTTAACCCTCTCTCTCCTTCCCACCGCCAACACGGCTCTCTCTTTTCTTTTTTCTTTCCCCAGATCCGACAGCTGTATAATGCAAAAGAATGTTCACAGCTTGCAAAAGATCAACTTCAGTGTCCATGGCACCAAAAAGTATACAGGCCAAAATAAATGATGACTCTCCTGAAAGTGTTCAAACAAACATCAATGTCAGGGCTAATTTTGCAATTTTGCAAGCAGATCGAATGGGAGAAGCTCTCGTTCATTCATGGCTTCACCAAATCTTATTGATGAATCCGACCTAATTATGCGCTAATTATGCTCCATTCCATATCTCAAATCAAATGAACAGGCACATTATGTAGGACCACCTTTCAGTAGCTACCACGACACGTAGCCACCAATGCCATGTGCTACGAGTAAAAGTGAACGAAGAAAAAGTAGACGAAGAGAATCGAATCATGTTGAATATTTTCAGCTTTCAAAATTAAATAAATAATAAAAAACTGCTAAGCAACTGAACTAACCTGGGCGGAGGAAATGGACATATAACCGGTGGAGGAAGTGGTAGGAAACGGCAGCGTGCCGGAAGCCGGGGTGGTGGTGGAGGAGGAGGGGGAGGATCCGGTTGGAGAAGGGGAGGAAGTGTTGGTAGAGACATCAGATCCAGATAAGCCGAGGGAATACGCCGGAGAGCCGTCGGGATTAAAAAGGCCATAATTCCTCTCGGAAGTCGGACCGGGCTTCATGTTCTCATTGAAGAGAGCAAAGACATAGATATTCAAGTCGCTGTTGGGCCTCATGGGCGTGCCCTTCTTCTGGTTATGAGCAATAAGCCTGATCAGATTTCCATTGTATTTCTTGGCATTCTCGGGGGTGGCGCCGGCTTCGTCCTCGTCTCCTTTGGAAGGCCAACCAGTTTCTGAAATATGAACTGGCAACTTGCCGTATCCCAAAGATGCCAAGGCCGAGTAAACAGCATCAATCTGGGCGAACAACATGTTATCGTAGTGCAGATTCGTGGAAGGATCTACAACCCCCTGGTTAGGCTGAAACAGCACGAAATCCACCGACACTTGCTTGGGATTGGCCTTGTAGGCGAAGTAAGGGTACGCGTTTATGAGAAAAGGAGATCCAGTTTTTGCATGGAAGTTCAAGAGGGGAGTGAGGCATGAAGTGAGATCAGAACGAAATGCTCCGGCGGAGGGTGGGTAAGACGTTTCCAGAACTGCCAGAGAGTGTGTGGTGGTCACCGTTACCTGCTTGTCAAGCCCGACATTGACGAGCGCCGTGTGAACACTCTGCATTGCCGGAAGCAGGTTGTCGCTGAGAGATGTATCGTTGAAGGTTAAGACCTCGTTTCCAACAAAGATGCTGGTGATCTTGGTGGCCGGCAAGTATGGTTGCACGTTTGATTTAATCCAGGCCTGAGCTTTGTTCGGATCTTTCATCTTTGACAAGTACTCGTTTCCCAGACCCACCATGAATTCAACTCCAGTATTAGCAAATGCGCGAAGCACCCGCGGATCCGCGTCGTATAGCTTCACCTTTGTGGCGCCGATCGACTTTATCAGCGGCACCACCTCGTCCGGCGAAGGCAGATTGTTTGCTATTTGTCCGTAGTTGATCCCAACTGCGACCACCGTTGTTTCCATTCCTGCAAGCACGAGTCCTACACTCATCCGAGAGAAATCAACAATGAGATTAACCTTATTACACACACCAAAAAGCATCAAACCAGAGAATTTTGCTTATCTTCATCGGCATTACCTGAGATCAAAATTACTATCAACCAACAAGAGCAGCTGCAGAATCTAGCGAACTCCATCGATCTTTATTTTGTGGAAAGGCAACAATATTAATGGATTGAATGAGTACTATGAATGGAAAAAAGACAGAATGGAAGGCTCAAAGACGAAAATTGGCAAGATCAATGAGTACAACAAATCTTGCTAATCTCTGCGATTAGAGTTGATCACGAACAACTTCCATAGTTTGGTGGACTGATCACTGACGTGAGTGTACGAGACAACAGAGTAATCCTGGTACGCCCCCGTCTCCGTCTCAGACCACTCTCCCACACACAGCTTGACAGACAGGGACAGTGCAGTATCGGAAGTTGTAACTAAAACTACAGAATCAATAGAATGAGAATAAAATTAACTAAATCGTACAAAAACAAATGAAGGGAAGGCTCCAACAGCAACAACCAGATTGCCAATCCAATCTGCCTGTGTTTCAGAAAGAAGAAATTTAAGTGGAATATATTCTTTAGCATGATGTTTAGCGATAAGATATTTTTTCAGGCTTTCAAAGGCGGTTGGTATCAGGAAACGTGGGTCCAGGATTCCGATCATCTTGATGGAGTTGTGATGGACGTTGATGATGATGACCATCTAACGGTAACAATGTTGGACTGGACTCTGCAACTGTGGGACCCAATCAATTGTTCCCTCACCACTTTCACATGACCGTCATTTCACAGACCAAACTGGCTATTAGATGCGTTTTCTTTCTCTCTTTCTTTTTTCCCCCTCTCTTTCCTTCCTTCTTTTTTGATTGGGTATAGCTATTTTTGGGCCCGTCATATGACTATTTAATGCTCCTTTACAACTAAGAAACTTAACACCGGAGTCCATGGAACATCAGCATTATTATGCTATAATTAAATGTGTAAATTTAGCTACTAATTACTTTTTTAAGATCATTGAATAACTTAAATTTTAGGATAATGCAAAATAAATCTTAAATTATTAAAAATAGAGCACCCAACAATCTCTGTTAATTTTAAACTAACGTACATTTATTGTCATTATGGAGTCCACTCAAATGATTTTGCAAATTATATATAAATTTAGTCATAAATTATTTTATGAAGAATACTAAATAACTTATACTATAAGTTATCATTTGCTTGATTACCTCAATATCATACAACCAGTTACCTTCTCCGTCACAAATGCAATCAATTCATTCACTTTCCACCACCCGTTTGCAAGGGCGTGGAAGTAGTTAGTATTCCAATCACCATAAGTAGACCATTCAACCTTAGCCTTCTGTGCCTAGAGGAGTGATTCTTGAACCAGGACATCCTCCAAATTCCACCATAACTAAAGTTGTAAATCTTCAAAATTACGCGCATCCAACCCCTCCCAATGGCTCAATTAACACGATCGAGACGGCGTATAATTTTTTGCTTCCTCGAACGTATTCCTGTTCCAATCAGAACATGCAAACGTGAAAGCTTCTAGCTTCTCCTTCCAATCTAATTGCTTCTGCCATTCCAATCTAGCTTCTCCCCAATGCCTTCATGCTATACCCACGATGCAATAAAATGAAAATGATGGTTGTGTTGTGGATCGATGGGTGGATTCATATCCCAATTTACAAGAAGTGGTCTGTGATCGGACTTTAAACAAGGAAGGTGCGTTACATCCGCATTTGGAAACAAACTGCTCCACTGCTTGTCGTACAATATTCAGTCCAACCTTGCCTCTAATGTGCCGCGCTTCCAAGTGAACTGTGGGCCCTTAAAACCTCCATCCAGCAACTCACATAGCAGATCTTATTTCTCAACATATAAGCATGAAGCTACTCTCTCCGTTTTTATTTGCTGAGAAAGTATTATTTTTTATTGGGAGAATGATAAAAGGATTTAAAAAGGATCAATTAATTTAAATTAGATTTTAAGTATCAAACTTTAAAAATTTACAATTCAATCTTTCAATTTAACAATTTATTTTTTAAATTTTAACATGATTAAAGAATAAAAAAATTTATTTTCACTACTAAAATTTCAAATACAAATTACAAATTTATTACAATGAAATTTGGTCTAAATTATTTTTTTATAAACAAATTTACATATCTCAATAAGTATTTATTATAATTTTTTAAAATTATCCTTCATAATTTATATTAATAAAAAATAATTAATACATATTTATGTTGATTAATATAGGGTATTTTATTTCAAATTTTTTATTTTTTTAAACCATGTAATATAATTTTTTATATATATAAAATCAAAGAGAGTATATTGTATCCACCAATTTCAAAATCCGTCATGGATTGAGGATTCTATCATCCAGCCTGCTTATTATTGGTATGAACTTTAATTTTTTTCTTTTTTTGTATCTGATATACTTGGCAATTTAGCATTAGGATTTCTTTTGGAAAATCACAATAGAGAACGTGGAAAGAATACTTACTGCAAACAGACCAATTGTTAAAGCGAAGGGGCATCATCATCATCAAGGACTTCAAGGCATTGAGGACACGTGGACTTTTTTTTTTTTTTTACCAAAGAGGACATGTGGACTTGAAAAAATTCAAAAAAAATTAAATTGCAAAAAAAGACCAAATAATTAGGAAATTGCTTTTGCAAGATCAGGGGATTTAAATATAATTAAAATTAAAATTTGTTGTAAAATGACAATACTACCCCTCAAACACACACTTTTAATAACATTTTTTCATTCAAGAAAAAACAAGTCTCATTTTTATTTTAATAATAATAAATTTTTATTAATAACTTTTAAAAATTAATTTAGTGATGGAAAGAAATAAATATTATAATTTGATGAACAAGTTTCTATTAAAAAAACAAGTTTTATTTTTACGAAGAACTTTAAAATATCAACTTGATAGTAAAAAAAAACTGTTATGATATAATAAACAAGTATTTATTTAAAAAAAAATTTTATTTTTATTTTAACAACATACTCTCTCTCTCTTACCCACCCACCCACCCACACCCTTTTGCAATAAATGTTACACACACATCCTTTTGCAATAAATGTTCTTCCTAGGTCATCTATTGTGATTTTCCCAATTCTTTTGGTGGTTTTACTCTTCGCTTGGATAGGGGGTTAAAACTACTTGGCATCAAGTGCGAGATTAAAAGAACACAAGTACATATCTTAAAAATAGAACCGCTCTGCAAAATGTACCAGGCCTTTATAAATTCACTTCCACAAGACCTTGCAACTCTAAGAAAGCACGTTGGTTGGTATTAGCTTCACCCTATGCTTAGGACGAACCTTGGTACTTATTCCGTATATTGCAAAAGGACTGGGTCCTTCGACGTTACTGTCTGCCAACCTATGAAGCATGCAATGGAAAACTAATTATGGCTATATTAATTACAAGCCAAAATGTTTGAAAACGGTGCAGCTCAAGGAGTGGCAACGTTTTCCTTAGCAAGTGGAGCAATCTCCTCGCCATCAATTCCAGGTTCGCTGCCAGCTACTGCCAGGCTCAACAGCATCTTTTCCCATTGCTTGGCTGGCCCCTGTATCACACAGATCCCAATGGTCACGAAAAACTTAAATTAATTGGACTCTGTCTCATTTTCCTATCTGATTCTGTGATTTGATCACCAACATTAACCTTCCATGAAAAGTCTTGGGCCATGCAGTTCTTGATCATCTCCTTCATCACAGGGGTATTATAGACGGCAAGGGCTCTTGTGACTGTAGATGACACCTTGTCCACATCAGCTGGATCCACGGCATCACACTGCAGACAACACCAAGGTTGGTAATAGTCCATTATTTTCAGTAACATCATCAACAGGAGACAAGGTAATATGTTTCACTTACTTCTACGCTGAATGCTCCCATGTGGAATCCAGTGTATCCTTCTTTTACAGTGTCAACAAGTCCACCAGTTGAGGAAACAATGGGCACCTGTTGTGATGCAGCAAACACTAGTGCATGAATAAACATAGTTGAAGGATTGGTCATGGAACAGACTGAAAAAGATGAGCATGATCATGAGAAAGACATAACAACAACGACCCTACCGTTCCATATGGCATAGAGTGCAACTGAATGAGACCACATGGCTCAAATCTACTTGGGATAATGATAAAATCAGATCCAGCAATAATCTTGTGAGCCAGGGGAACATTGAATTTTGCCACTCCTCTAGCTTTGTCAGGATACCTCACCTCCAGATGCCCAAGTTCCGCCTCCATGGCCTTCTTCCCAGTTCCCTGAAGAGATAGAGACATTGACCATCAGCATGAAGGTTGCAGTATCACTGTATCAGTACTAATGATGGATATACAAATAAGGATTTTGTTTTTGGGAGGAAGGGAATCTAATCACTTACAAGAACTAATATCTGAACATTCCGGTTGATGAACGTGGGAATCGCAGCTGATAGAATATCTGAACCTTTCTGCTCCTCTAGCCTACCAATGAACCCTATCAAAGGGATATTCCTATCAACAGGCAAGCCGACTTCTGCTTGAAGGGCTTCCTTCAACAGAGCTTTTGCTTCCATGACCTGAACATGACAATTATGATGAGTACTGATTTCCTCTACCCATGTCAATTGTGAAGGTAAAAATATCAGAGGAGGAACTCACAGTTGTTGCATCGTATTTCAAGCCAATGTACTTGTCAGTTCGTGGATTCCATTCTTGACTATCCATGCCATTAACAATACCCATAATGCCAGTTTTACGAATAATGTTGTCCAGCTCCACACCTTTTTCCATTCCAGAAATAAGCTCCTGTGCATAATACGGGCTCACAGTTAATACTCTGTCCGATTCTAGTATTCCAGCTTTCATCCAGTTAATTTTCCTTCCCTTCACAGGCTTAAGATACCTAGCAAAGAAAGAATGAAGAAAAATCGGTACAGTTAGCTATAGATTAGTTTACTAGGTACATGAACACGAGACCCTTTTTCTAATGAATGTATTAAAAGGCTGCAGTAGGTATCATACCCGTCAATAAAGTCAAAGGAGCTCTTGAATTCATTGGGCAAATTGAGAAGAGCAAAGTCGTCAAAGGCATGTCTACCCTGGTAAGCGATGTTATGAATACAGAAAACAACCTGCCAAGATTGACCAAGGAAAGTTAGATTGCTGCGAAGTGAGGGGGCAAAATAAAAAAAAAAAATCCAAATTGCACAAAATAGATTTGATACACATGATTCCCTGAGAAGAAAGGAACCCTTGCCTTTGCATTTTTGTAAATCCCCCTTGGTTTGTACATTGATTTCAAGTAGCATGGAAGAGGAGCAGTGTGCCAATCGTTAGCAACAAAGACTACATCTTCTCCTACAGAAAGATAGGAAAAGCTTGTGAACTTCTTTCAGCGCCTATTCTCAAATCAAGTTATGAGGTCAAGGAATCAACAAGAAATCCTCACCATATGGTCCAGAGAAGTATTTACTGCTGTTCAAGTTCAGAACCCTGGGCGCCTCAAGTGCAGCCTGGATGTTATTAGCCATTTTTTTATATAATCAGATGTAGAGTCCAGATCAAGCAGAGTACAAGTAGCACCATAGCACTAAACCTATAGTAAGATTACTATAACCATGAAACTCTTCAATTGCATTCTTTCCTCAACATCTTCTATTTTATCCAGCAATATTAAAACTCTTCCCTTTGCATGGAATAACTTAACTTTACGTCATTTAATAGGTTAGTAAAAGACATTACAATCGAATCACAGACACGGCACACGCCTCAGAGTAGATTGAAACTAGTGCAATTATCCAGATACAACGCAAGCATCGGATCATGATTAGTGGAATAAATCAAAAAACAATGTGGTAGGCAAAGTAATGACCAAGTGAAATATCAGCTAGGAGGATTTTTGGGCACTTGTTTAACATGCTCGCCCCACTCCCAAAAAAAAAAAAATTTTTTTTTTTTTTGAAGTACCTGGCACAACAAGCTGAATCTCAGCTGGTTATCCTTGTAATCCAGTCCAGCCCTGGGACCATAGAGTTTAGACTCGGTTTTGCCCCAGACCTATTTGAAATGAGGGAAACATCAATTTAACAGTTCAAGGCATAACAGGCTTGAACCCCATGAATATTTGTATCATGAAAGTGGTTGATGACAGGAAAATAAATTATAGTAACCTTCGCCAGGAACATAGGATGATCCACAAAAACGCGGTCCACGCCTCGCTTGTAGCAGTGGAAAAATCGGACAGTTTCATATCTATCTCCGACCTTGATCTGCAAAATGTACATACATAATTTAAAATCATGAACAGGAATACTCCTTCGAATTGCATATGAACTTACAAGTTAGAGAATTACCTCAACTAAGACACTTGTGTCCCATGCGTCCTTGTACTGGTCAAAACGCGGTGATACACTCATAACACGGTGTCCTCGTGCCTGTTTTCATTTGCATAAAGCTTGGTCGTAAGAATATACAGACACAATCAAAGCAAACAAATAGAAGGAAATGGACACAGATTGGAAACTCAAAGGAATTCACTCACTGCCAAGGCTGGTGGAAGTCCTCCAAGAACATCACCAAGTCCACCAGTTTTGCTCCATGGTCCGACCTCAGCCGACACAAACACCAAATTCATCCCTTGGCCACACACAATTTTCCCAGCAAGCTGGTCTTGATCCTTCTCAGACTCAGTTTTGTTGATTCTTGCATTAGTTTTGGCTGCATGAGTTCGAACTTTAAGCATGTTCAGAGATCTCAACCCATCATGGGTCACAGTCTGGTTGTAAGCACCAACCAGACACGAATTTGCTTTGGCCTCTGCTTTCTGGCTTCCAAGGTGCGTCGCGCAGGGGCTTCTGGATACTAGAAAGGAGGATCCAGTGAAGGTTGCCATGGATGATATCGTGAATGTGGATCAAAAAGCCTTCTGCAAATACAAAAAGAGATAACAACGAAGAACTGGACAGAAGACACTAGAACAGTACTACGTTGTGCCTAAGGTGCGAAAGTGATCGGTGTAACAAGTGAGAAAGTATCAATTTTTGTGAATAATGGGGTTAAAGCGGATTGAAATATAGGCGGTGCAGTTAACATCCATGAACGAATCCCAGATAGAGAAAATAGTATATCAGACCTGCAAGGTGATGAACCTGCAGTGCCAGTGACTGAGTCAGTCAATATGGAAATGAGAGCTGTGAAAGATGAACGGCCTCAACCCAAACAAGTGTTCATGCCTCACTCCCTCTCACTCACTCACACTGTCACCTCAAGAAAATCGGCCTTTTGTAGAACCCTTGCATCAACACGTGTGCACTCGTGAGTGGTTTTATGACAGGTACCTCGAACATATTTATTTTATTTTATTTTTGGTTACTCAAAATTGCGATTCTAACTCATGGGAATATGCTAAAACGCAATATAATTCACTATTCTCCACCTCAGCCTCATTTCTTGTTCACTCACATGGGTGGCGCTCAACAAATGGCATACTACCAAGTAACCATACTATTCATGCACCTAAAAATCTGAGTTTTGATCTTCAAAGCGAAAATCAAGTGGCTTTCGATGTTTGAATTGAACAAATGAATCTTGAAAATCGACAACTCACCCACTTGAGCCACGACGTTTGCTTTCTTCAAGAAGGAAAATATAAAATGGCAAGAAGCCAAGGGACGCAGCGACAAGTTGATATGCCATGAGCCTCGTGAACCGTCGGTGAGAATGCGGCGAAGTGAAAAGTTAGGGTCCCACTTCCTACAGTATTCTAAGAAATGGATACCAGAAATCACTTTCATGAATAACACTTGCTCCATCCTTCCGAGTTCCAACACTCTGTATTTTGATAGCCTGCATGTTTCTTATTTTATGCGACTCGCAGCGCAATTTGGCATAAGCAGCCAAATGTAAATATAAATAACAATAAAACAAAGGAATACATTATTCTCTCATTAAAAAATATAAAATATTTTTTTAAAAAAATAAATATTTAAAAATATAAAATATTTTTAATTTTTAAAGACATAATTATTATTTTTTTTTAAAAATGTCCTATTGATGAATAACTTTATATTTATTATAAGATGTTTAATAGAAGTAAATATAAAAAGATAGGATTAATTTAAAAATAATTAACTACTTTATTAAAAATTAAAATTTAATTAAAAATATTTTATATTTTTAAATGGAGGGTTTGCATGGTTAAGTTTGGGACGCCAGGCAATTGAGGGATCCTTGCTGGAAAAAAGAAGGATTTTTTTTTTTTTTGCCCGAAGGAAAAAAGAAGGTAATGGGCGAGGAATTGCCAGATTTTTATTTTTGATCCAATCATGCTTTTATAATAATGATAATAATAATAATAATAATTTTTCATTACATTACAATAGATTCTATATTCACAGTTGAAACTTGACAAATAACACCCTTGATTTCTCAAAAAGATCATAAAGGCTGCGTCAGCCCTTTAGAATCTGATTGCCATTTCTATTTTATGTTAGATTATTGTGCATTTTTTCTAAAAATATGAAAAGATTTTCCCATTGCCTCTTGCGATATTTTATTTTATTTTCTTTCTCAGGATGTATGGGAAATTATGACTTAATGGTATCGTATAAAGGAAGGGTTAATTATATCGTTTGATACTGTTTGATCATAACCTTCACACATACATCGTGATATTTCAATAATTAAAGTCAATGATTTTTTCCTTATCACCCAACACCCATGCATGGAATCTTTCTTGTGCCTTTTGATGAACAGTAAATTTACATCACTTTAAAGTTTAAAGTTAAATATTCTTATATAATTATATGATTGAGTCATTGGAGCATTATCATATTCAATTAAAGATCACTCTACATTAAAAGTAGTATTTTGCATTTACACAGACTTTGTCCAAAACTTTATACTCCCTCCATTTAAAAATATAATACATTTTTAATCGAATTTTATTTCCTAATAAAATAGTTATTTATTTTTTAACTAACCCTATCTTTTCATATTTACCCCTATTAAACATCCTACAATAAATACAAAGTCATTATCAATAGGAGTACTATTAAAAAAAAGATAATGATTATACCTCAAAAGACTAATAATGTCTTACATTTTTTAACATTCAATTTTTTAAAAAATGTTTTATATTTTTATGTAGAGGGGTATTTAAATTGGTATAATTCCTTTCACAAGAACTAACAAAACAGTTGTTAGTAAATTTGAACTAGTTATATTTTAATATGTTCTTTTCAATTTATTAGTCATTTTATTTTTCATTCTGAAGTAAGTAAAATATGAAATAATATCTCGACATTTTATTTCTTTAAAAATACATGAAAAGGCACAAATATTTAAAAAGGACACGTATTAAAATCGAGCCATCGACTATTTTTGGCAGTAAAAGTGAAGTGAAGCAAGTATAATAATCAAAGATTTGAACTCTGAGAAATAGGCAAGTGAGGCATCATAATAGAGATGGGAATATAGGTCAGATTATGTGAGTTGGTTTAAATAATCAATCATAAGGGTCAGGTTTGATTGGAAAAAAATTGATCCAAATAAAAACAGATTTTTTCTTGCCCGAACCATATAACCCATGGACCATGTGGGTTAATCCTGATGGGTTAGAGTTGGCCCGTTTAACCCATGTTACTATTAAAAAAAAAAAAAAAAGGAGAAAAAGAGAAAAATTTATGAATATAACCCATATCAAACATGATTTACTTAACTATATCAATTTATATGTTTTGTACAAATATTATAAAATAATATTTTGGCATATTTAAAATGAATTATGAAAAAATATTAAATTAAAACTTATTATTTAGATATATTTTTTTAAAAAATTATTAAAAAATAAATTTAAAAAAAATGGATTGGTAGATAAGCTCATTTAATCCACCCACTCTTAAGGGTTAGATTGGGTTTGAATTTTTTCAACCCATATAAGAACAAGTTGAACCCAACCTAACCCATATTTTTCTTAACTTATATGGGTCAACTCACATGGGTCAGTGTAACACCCTCAAATTTACAGACCGATTTTTCGCAAATTATTAAAACCATTATCATGGTAGAAAAATTTCTACCACGATACATCCAAGACAATATACCACAGGTCTTAAAATATCTAAAAAAAAACAATTAGAACCATGAGGGACAGACATGATCCTCATAGCATGTTATTCAAATCAGATCATAAATCAAGAGGGACAGACATAATCCTCTTGGTCATATAAATACTTTTAATAAAAAGGATTAGAGTTTACATGCTTCACAAAGAAGATATGTCCTAAGTTGGCACAAGATACATTGTATAATCTAAAATAAGAGGCAACGTAAAAGATGGTGTCTCATACATCACAGTTACACCTCTGGTGCTTTCTCGGCCGGACTTGCTCCTGTAAAATTGTTAACCACGGGGAATGAGACTTAAAAGTCCCAGTAATCAAAAATTAATATGTAATGATGCATGCGGATGTAACTAATCATGCGATTGCTAAGTGGGCACACAAAAACATTTAACTGAACAATATTTCTAAACAAACCGAACAAATATTTAATTGCATGACTACACCTTATATCCTCCTTTCGCCATGCTCGGACGCCAAATCACCCGGCCAAAGGTGAGTTGGACCAAGCGACACGCCACTCATTGGGTCCAATGAGGGCTTACCACGTGGTAATAATTAACCGAACAGAAATTCCCATTAACACCATACATTAAAATACCCTGACAAGTCATGCATCATTCAAATATCCAAACAGGAATATATCCGAACAATAATATCTCATCATGATAAACAAAAATAAATTTTTAACCCACTTGGCAATAATTTCAAATAAGTATATACAGTATTTATTTTCAATAATTCATAATTTTTCCAAACAACAAAACAACACATAACCATTCACAAACACACTCATCACAACACATTAATAATGGTTACCTTGTGTCTTGAATAACAAATTCCCCTTCACAACTCGTCTTTCACCACTATCTTTGTCAACACAATCTACATAGTTATTTCATAATACTATATATTAATTTTACATTAAAATAAATAACTCTAATTTAAAGAGTTAGAAAGTCTTAGATCTATAATTCATATTAACACTAATTTAAGATTTATGCCTCATTTAACTTTTTAAATTCTTTTCTAAAATTCTGGTACCCTAATAAACTATTTTTAAGCCTCAAATCACTTCTAATATCACAATTTCATCCTTTTATATTCTAAAAATTCGTCCAAAAATAAATTAAAAATTTTAGAATTGTCCTGAAACCTCAAATCACCTTTCTATAACCTCAAAAATACCTACTCATACTTAAATAAATATTTAATAATCATAGGTTTATCCCTACATCTCAGATTCCACATAAATTCAACCATATAGATCTAGATTTTAACTCAAAAATTCTTAAACATGAGTTTCAACCTCAAGAAAATATTCTATAATATTTATTATATCCCTAAAAGTTTTAACCTATATTTTTACTCCATCATATCATCAGATTAACTATCCTATAGAAAAATCCTAATCAGAATATTTACTCTATCCTACAAAATAATCATATCACTAGAAAGCTAATATTATTTAGAAAATAACTATAAAATTAATTTTGTAATTAAATAAATTTTTAAATGCTAATCTAAACAGGAAAGTTAGAACATACCTGAAGACAAAGAAAATAATCCCCCCTTGCGAGAAAACGCAGAGCAACGTGAGAGGAAGAGAGAAAAATAATATAAAAATGGGATTGTAGTCCCAAAATTATATTTAAAAAAAACTATAGGTTTGAATTTAATTATTCAAACCTTTGGGCCAAAAGTTGTAATTTCCTCTAAATTGCATCTTAGCCTCTCATGCTTCCTAATGCACACACCCCCTCCTTTTTATACATGAAGGCACCTCTTCTCTTCCCTCATCTAACCAATGTGGGACTTAGAAACAACAACCTTCCACCCTCTTTTTTTTGTTCCTTCTACCTTCTTTTTTTTTAACACACATAAAAAAATTATTTATGTATTATATCTTAACTAAATATTACTTATGTGATTTTAAATTTAAATTTTTAAATTTATAATTAAATACCTAACCATAATATCATTTCTAAATAATCTCAAATAATATAAATTCCTATTATTATCATTTTTTCCTCAAAACCTAAATTCCACAATTTCTTTATTATATAAAAATCAGGATGTTAAAGTCAGGCTGACCCATATTCTCACCTTTACAACCTAAGAAGAAAGAACATTCAAAATTGAATGGATGGATGGTCTCACTCTACTTCTGCCCCTTCTGCAGCACATCATCTCCGTTACATAGCCTCTGAATGTAATGCTCAAAGTAACTAAACTGCTCTTTGATATTGATTAAAAGGAGTATTTTAAGAAAATTAATACACATAATTTTACAAATAACTAACTTAGCTAATTTTCTTTATCGCAGTAAATTAGTTATCCAACTCTTGTATTTAGATCATTGAGGAATAGTATACAGAAAAGAAAGTGTGTAGACTATGGAGCAAAACAATATTGATGTTATTACTGAAGTAAGATGTGAGATGCCTTCAATTACAAAAACAATATACAAGCTCCCTTCTTGCACTTAAAAGCTAGCTTGCCCTTATGAAATTGAAAAAAAAAAAAAAGGAAGGGAAAAAGACAATGCGAATGAACAATTTCTTGAAGGCAACAAATTAATGTGTTACTCTTTTCCGCTGGCAAGATGTCTTGAACGGTCATCACAAATTCACAAGCCCCTTCCAATATTTGCAAACCTCCTGGCAACTCCAAATATGACTGCCTTAGTCAAGAGACCACGATCAAGGGTGCATGCAAGGGCGATGGCTCCCCCGACAACTAGAAGCTTGGGTATGGTCTTCCCACCTGGTTTGCCAGAAGAGTCTTGATTCTCAATCTCCAGCATGTTGTTGTTATTGTTGCTTGTGCTTTCCAGATATCTCAGATAGTCTTCACCTACTTTCTTGTTGATCTTAGCCATGCAGGCACTGCGAGACAACGGAGCACCTGAAGCCCTCTCTTTCTGATACATTCGTAGTCCGGGGTCAATCTTCTTCACGGCTCCCCACATTCCCTGACGAACTCCAAGCTTAGCGATTTCCCAGGGTATACCCATATCTTCATGATGAAACAATAACACTTCACATGCAGTCAGCTCTCCAGTTTTCTTTGATTCAACTGATCCACATATTAAACAAAGGCAGATATTAGTTCCCATAGCTTTTTAAAATCAATATAGCTGTAACAACAATAGCAACAAGTCTTATTCTACTAGACAAGGTCAGCTATATAAATTGCAAGATATCGTTATACTTTATAATATAGCAGTCAGCAATACAAAATTTGAAACTGTAATAAATAATAGGCACCCCAGATCGAGACCACAAGGCCCCCATGACAAGGATATAAAACAGATTGTTCTGCTATCGTTTTTAATATAGAAAATACTGCCATTGAGCTCAAGTTAGATTGTAGGGGTTCATTGGTATGATTAGGTTCTGAAAATAAATTTTCGGGGTTCATGCATCAAGGGAATTCAAGGGAGATTGAAGTATTTAACACTACGATCATTCACTTCGACGAGCAGGATCTCTGTTCCAAACAGAAAGATATCGATTTAATCCAAGAATCAAGATTGAAAAACAAACGAGGCCCTGTAGTTATATTTCGGAACAAATATTGGTAACCTTTTTCAAAAATCAGGGCCAGTCATTTTAATAACAAAAAATTTATTTATTTTTTTAAAGAAAAGCAATAGTATAGTGATCTCTAAAATTCATGTAATGTCTTACCTGCACGAATACACCAGCTAGAATAGTATAGATCAACTCGTTTAGGCTTGTTGCGTCGAGGCACAGAGGGGTATGGTACTCCCTGAATAAACAAGGCAACATTTAGATATAATATCTAGGAAGAATGTACAAAAACACATAAAATTATCTACAAGCTCTTCACTACAATGAGAAACATAACATATGGTTCCATTAAGTTCAGGTCAAGACTGTTAGAAACTCAAGTTCAGCGAGGCCCAAAGAAACATTCTTCTCATTTTTTTTAATTATTAGTTTCTTTTAAAAAACCTATGTTTCTTTGTAGCAAAATGAAAATGCAATTTACAATGGGACAGCCAATAAAACCAAAAGCTGTTTGCATTTCCGTATATCATTCTATAGCAATTTCTTTTCCCAACATAATTGAACACCCGGTCCAACTTGGTCTCCTAACATCATTGAAAGCACATCAGATTCAGGTGCACTGAGACAAAATTATGAATTAATATCGAGGATCACCAAGCAACATCAATAACATAATCATTCTTACCATTTTTATGAGAAAAACACTTTAAATAAAAGAATATATTATTGATAATTGTAAAATGACCATTTTTTCTTGAAATTGTAAAAACAGCAAAATGCTATCATATCTGCATTCATATTTTGATATTAGTAGCGTTTCCACAACTTATTACATACAAACTAATAATAGCTTTTGTTCTCATAAGTCATAATTCCTAAGCACAGCCCGTTCATCTAAACATAAGCAACTGTCAAACTCAGTTGAGAGCTATTTTCCTTCTGCATGTTAAAGCAGAAGGCCAAACTTGACGATGCAGATAAGCATGGGAGACTTCTAGTTACCAGAACCAGTTAAGCACCCTCACAAGCACTTATGAGTGCATGGCATGCAAGATGGAATACAACAACAACAACAAGCCTTATCCCACTAGGTGGGGTCGGCTATATAGATTATATGACGCCATTATGCTCTATCATTTATTAAATTTTTAAGAATATTGTTAATTAAAAAGTTTCACTCAACAACCTCTAAAAATGTTCTCTTCGATCTTTCTCGACCTCTCTTGACAGGGTTCAAAATCATTTGTTTCACTCTCCTCACAAGTGCTCCTGTGGTATGCAGGATGGAATGAGATGGCAAAAAGAAATGGTATTGGAAAAGTAATTTTCTAGTTTGTAAGTATTCTTAATGTCCTAAATGGAAAAAAATTAAAAATATAAAAAAAATCACCTTTGAGTAGAATATACAGTAGCTATTATATATATCTCTCATTTCTTTCTTTCTTTCTTTCCTTCCTTTTTTTTTTTTTTTGGTTCCAATGAAGAAAGAAAGCTGTTCCTTTCATTCAACCAAACACCCTCTAAAAAGTGAATCTCAAAGAAGTGAGACTTTGAGAAGCATTGCGCATACCTTAGTTACACAGTAGTAAGATTGTCCTGATTCCCAAATTCGACGACCTATCAAATATTCTCTATCACTACAAAAAAAGGGAAACTGTAACAAGAACAAAACAGCAAGATATCAGCCACATCAGGATATGCACAAGAACCAACCAAACCATAAAAAAGACACAAGGAAGCAGTCTGCTGACCTTGCGCACCCAGTGCACTACCATTGTTCCTGTGACGTTGCATTCTTCTAATGTCGTAGCATGTAAAAGCATGTCATCCCACTTCAATCGGAAATCATCATCCCAGAAGAATTCTCTCACCAAATCAGGAGTTGCGTCTTCAAACACAGTTCTGCTGCGATATTGGGGCGGTCCATTCTAACAAAGGCAAAACCAACCAATCATAAGGGATACAAGAAAAAGCAAGAATGAAAAGGCTACATGAGTTCAATTCACAAATACCCTATGCAACTGGACTGGTCGAAACCATTAAAATACAAACTAGAACAATGAAATAGCTACCTCTGGATCTCTCCGCCAGGCTTGATAGCTCATGCGTGAGGTAGAACGATCCATCATCTGAATCCAAGCAGGGCCCCCATCTTTTTCCTTAACCAGCTTACATAAATGCTCCAAATCTTTCTCAGTCAAGAGAGATTTATCTTTTTCAACCTGCAACGAACTGGCCAAGTGGGACCAAACGGTGAAGGAAGAGTAATTTTAGTTCCATCGAATGAAACAGTCGCTATTAAAATTGAGTGTACTTCAAAGAAGAAAACAAACCTGCCCTCGGAGAAAGAAGACTCCTCCTGAAACCCAACATTGGAAGGCCAAGGGACGAAACTGGGAAACTTAATCTTAAACGAATTTAAGCTAGGAATGGAAGCGAAACACGTGGACAAGGAGGAAAATGGAGAATTAGTGTCATTCGGAACCATACAATCTAACATGTCTCTGCCAAAATTGGCCCATTTGGGTTTCCATGCCCACCCAACCAAAACACCAACGATAACCGCAACCCAGAGTGAAGCTATAAAAATAAAGAGGTCACCCAATATATTGACGACTGAGGATTTCCCCAGAATTCCCAATAAAGCCGAAAGCAAGGCCATAGATAAAAGCACTACAACCGGCAAAAATCACAGGAAGGGGGTACGAATAAAAAAAAAGCAGGAAGAAAAAAGAAAGAAAAATCACCTGCTTGAATGGGAAAAAGCAGCGATTAATGGGGAAGAGGGGAAGGAAGAAGAAGATAAAAAATGACCCCCAAGAACCAATCTGCACTCGAATTAGACAGAGGAAATCAGAGAAATGAGAAAGAGTGGATAGATATGAAGGCTATGCAGCAGCAGCAGCAGAAGAAGAAGCAGAATCAGGACGAATGAAGAAGAGGACAGAAATTGGCTCAGTAACACGGATAAGGAGGACCGGATAAGAGGCAGCGAGAAGCGTTGGTGCGATTATCGTAGGCCCTGTTAGATATGCCTGGTATATATATTATTTCATGCGTCATCGTTTATTTTATTTATTTAATTAATTTTTTTAGTTTGTTCTTCAATTTTAAAAACTTTTATAAATTTTGTTTAATTCTTATTTTGTTGTTATACGTTAATTCCATAAAATAATTGTTGTGTTAGAATGTTTAGTGTCATTCCTTTATAAGTTAAAGTCTCATATATCTATGTTGCGTGTGAAACTGTGAATCATCACTATTAAAGTTCCTAATATCTATACTATAGCGCGCTCCGACCCCGTGCCTTTTTTTTTTCACGTTTTCTGACTTTATATATACAGCGCGGATGATTAGGTTTTTCTTGGCCAAGCAAATGATTAGGTTAAAATTTATTATTATTATTATTATTATTTACTTTATTTCGAAATTTAATTTTTTTTCTCCCCTACTTCATCTTATTTTGATTCATTTTCTTAACTTAATATGGTCATTTTTGTGGGGAAAAACTGAAAAAAAAAAGTTAATTAATCAATTATTTCTTTTTCACAACGTCTCAGACATTATTTTAAATTTAAAAAAAATCAAATGATGATTAAGTAATGATAATAAATAAATTTAAATTCGAAAAATAATTATTTTCTTTTACAAGTGTCAAAAGGGTTCTTTTTGTCCATTATTATTATTATCATCCTCCTCCTATCATAGTGTGCTCCAAACCGACCCCGTGCTTTTGTTAGGTATTACAATGGGGCCCGACCCGGTGTCCAGTTTTCTTTCTTGTTTATTTTGTTGGGTTACTTTTGGCTTTTTTTTTTTTTTTTTCTGTTTCCCTTCTCTTCTTGTGGTTCCGTGTCTTTCATTTTTCACGTTTTCTGACTTTTTCAATCTGACCAACGCGGGATTTCGGACTTGGACTTGAACGTTGATACAATCCATGTTGTTTGGTCAAATTTTTTTTATTAATGTTTAATGTATTTAAAATCATTTTCTTAACCCATGAAAGACATTCAGTTATTTCCTTTTTCACATTCTCTGAATTGTTATCTTGAATTTACAAAGCATAACAACTAATGATAAAATAGTAATTACAATAAATATTTTATGAATATGAGGATAGAATGTGAATATTCATTATTTCAGATTCTTTAATATCTTTCAGTTACTATACCAAGAGAACAAGAAAATAGGTTGTGTCATTAAATTTAAAGTCGCAAGAAGTTACTAGAATTAAGTCATCAATATAAACAATAAAATCCAGGAAGTCTAGTTTATTTGTTTATGGAACGGTAAATTTTCTTCACGTTTATTTAGCTAGCCATTTTTTAATTTATTTTTGGAGGCTGAAATCTAGTCGTTGCATATCACTACAATTTAGGACCAGAAATATAAAAAAGCAGCCTGTTTGAATAGAAAATAAAATTCTTCATCTTTTAGTCTAAAAAGAAAAGGCATCATATTACCAAGAAGAGTCCATCTCCTGGCCATTTTCTCCAGGTCTTTCTCCTGCCTACTGAACACAATATCACATTGTATTTTTTTTTTTTTTTAAAGCTTCTATATTTCAAATATTTACCATCTTGGCATAGGTATTATATTAATGAGCAGGAGAATGCAGGAGGGAATGACGTAAGAGAAACTATTTCCCGTATTACCTGAAATTTTTTAAGCTCATAATCAACTTTTTTTCGTTTCTTTTTTCTTTTAAATCCACAAGGGCAAAAATGGGCAGAGGGTGAGGCTAAATCACAAAACTATATTTCATCCAAAGGGACACGAGACATGATTGATACAAATAGGGAATTTTAATTTAAGAGCTTGAATTGCCAGAGAGCTGCATCACCTTCTCCACAAAGTTGGTGCACCTCCTCCATTCTTTCTGCTGACTTACAGATACCGTTACAGCTCCAGTCAAATGATGCACCACATGGATTAGCTGCTTCTGCCTTCCACTCACAATCTATCATTCAAACACTTCAAAACATCACACACACTCTCTCCCTGTTTCTTATCACTCTTATGTTATTATGCATCACGAAGCCTTTGGGTGTGCCTTGGGAGAAGAAAGTGCTTATCAAGTTTGAAACCATCAATCAGAATCCTAATTTTAACTTTACTGAACTTAGATAATGATGTTGGTAAGCAAAGGAATCAGAATCCGATATTCTGATGCTCCAATTTGCATTAAAAGACTGATTAGATAAGCAATTAGTTTATGAAATCCTTCTTCTCCATGGTATATCAAACAAGCAATTTGATAAGGCAATGCATGAATGTAGAGACAAGAGAGCAGAAAAGGATTTACAATAAAGAAAAGGAATACAGGCATCAATCTTACCGGGAATCCCACAGCAGAGGCTTCGCTCATCAATGTGCTCAACATCTAGACCGATAAACCATGAACCCAGAGAGACGTCTTCATTTGCATACTTGTGAAGTATTTGCCTGAAAGAAGACCAATCAGCGATCTTAAACACAATAAGGCTACAAGCACCAATATAAATGCACCTACCCGTTAGCTGAAATGTAGGTTGCTAAATCCTTCGAGATTGCGTATATTTGCCCGGCTGCATGCCTGAAATACTTATTTCCTTCTTCTCCAAATTTCCAGTACTCAGGTTCATGGTACTTGATACCTCTGCAGATAGTTTCATAGTTTGTTACAAATGGCATATGCGATCAATCATCGAAGTGCATATGCTGCTAGCTTACTTAATTGCAAGGACGGGTCCAGATTTCATACAACCAATGTAAACACGTGGTCTTGACATATGGTGTGCCAACATTGACCCAACTGCACCTGTCACATGTTGTAACTTGTAAGCTCCTGAGAATCCCCATGGACACTTGCAAGTTCTCCTCAAATCGCAAAGAACTACAAACATTGCACAAGCACTAACCTAGATTTACATGTACATCATCATCAACTTTAATGTAGAAGTCAGCATCCCACTTAGCAACAGCTGTTGAAAAGAAGGTTTGAGTTTTGGAGGATAATGTATGGTATCCCTCCATGTGCCTCTGCATCAAAACCATGTAATCCTTTTTGCCCAATCATTTAGGTTGAAATAAATACATGGACCAATAGCTAGAAGCCAAGAACATAGGGACCATTTTGCTCGATATGAAAAGAATTTATAATGTTTTTATTACTGGATCAACAATAACTGCTGTTAATTAACTTGTGAAAGGATTTATATATTTCCTTTCATTCATTAGGTGGAGCTAAAACATGAGATAATAGGTCAACAATGTCAACAGAGGTTAGCATACCAGTCGCAGGAAATCCTTATGCTTACCATCTTCTTCATCAATAGCATGATCTAAAACACCACCTGGAGTTGCACTGCCAGTGCCAACCATAAAATGTAATCCAATGCAAATAATCATAAAGTTCCATGATGACAGAAGAAAAAAAGTATATTATTACTCCCTGCATGCATTATAGCGTTTACCAACCTGTGACCTATGACAAACCGAATTATGATTTTCTTCTCTTTTTCCAGCTTACTCAGTTCCTTTCCTGGGTGATTAAATATTGTACATTATGGTTTTGCTTAGCAGTTATTCAGGAAAATGTAAGACATTTTTTTGCTCTAAGGTTAGAAGTGAACCTTGGGGCATCCATGTTTTTCTAATTGAGTCCCTCAGCTTTCTGCCACTAAAGGCTGTAATAATTCCCATAACAAAGAATATTTTGCCCTCATCCTTAATTTTCTCTCCTGAATTTGCAAAAATAGGAGATTCTACTTTGTGCTTATTTTTGGCAGCTCTGGCTGCAGCAAGCTGCATCTCCAATGAGGACATTTTTTTGTCCAGTTCCCTGCAAGGTTAACAACATGAACTGTGATACTGATCATGCCAAGTATAAATTTTAAAAACTTTTACTTGTAAACAGTAATATATGCTCATTTTGCCACATTCATCAACATGGATTATTGACATTTACATGATAACATCACGTGTCTGTGAAACTTGAGGAAAGATGTCCCTTGCTTGAATAGATGTCTCCTGTAATATCACTTGGAATAGTAAGATGAAAAGCCAAAGCGTATTTTAACTCTGTGACTTGAATGTTTATCTTTCTAAGTGTGACTTGCCTCATTACAGCTGACCAAGGGATGCAAAGCTCTTGAGAGATAAGTTTCCCTAATTGATGTGTCCTTGACTATTTTAACTGCGTGATTGCCATCCCAGAACCTGTGAATTACAAATGAACAACTCTGTAACCTACACACTGAAATAAAGAAACTAAAAGAGTTCATCCTAAAAGAAAAGCAAATACATTCAGACACTCAATGTGTAAGATTTTCTGCATATTTGGATTGGCAAATATACACCAACTTTATGAGATTTCCACAGGGGGACTGAACTTATGTAAAACAACATGGAAAGGAACTGTGCTTGGACAAGCTATCTAGCAATAGCACTCGTTAGCAATCAGTGCATGGAATCAAACATATCATGACCAACAAGAAACCGAGGAAACCTTGATGGAGAAAGACTTCAAACATTGACTATGCTTAAAGATCAATTACAGTAGCATTTATCATGCATCACTAAGCCCACCTGGTCACCTGGTCATGTATGATGGCTCAAACATCAAACAAATTAAATTAAAGAGATAATGGTGGAATAGATAAAAATAAAATAAAATTTTGGCAAATTATCATTTTGTACTTAAACTCACTCTTTTCCTGGTCCTATCCTCCAAATTTTCTCACAACAATGTCATCTTTAATATTTTATTTTCTGTTCTATGCCTTCTCTGAAACTGCTTTCACTGTGTCTTCTGAAAGAAATTGATTGACTAATATCTTAGATGACCTAAATATTACAAACAAACTTTGATATGTAAAACAAGTATAAAGAACTAATGGCACCAGAATGGTGTGATTTGTGCACTTCTCTGATATCAATTTCCGCAAAGGAAGACAATTGGTAAGAATTCCTAAACTCTAGACCCCCAATTTACCAACGTAGGGAAGATGTTGGAGTTCAGGGGCACAGATCATATCAGAGTTTATCATGTGCAATTTGTGTCGGAAACCAACAAAACTTTTTTTTTTTCCCCTTTTTGCGAGTGTTTTACCCATTATCTTGAAGACTCAGCTTACAAAAGAGTTTGTCAGAGCTTAATAGCATCATAAGTTCATAAAAATGGCAGCAATCCAATTTACCAAGAGCATTAAGGCACTGATTCCATGAAAGATATCCAAAAAGAACAAAAGATAAAAATTAAACATTAAGAATGACATTAACACCCCCAAGAAAATAGTTTTAGGGGCTACAAATATAAAGTTCATATGGTTTTGGAAACGGTGACCAATGAAAACTCCTTTACTTGATAATGGTGCTTCTGATTCAGTTTCTTAATAGCACGAAACAGCATAATCATATCATAACAAAAATAGCTGTTGATAAAAAAAAAAGGTTTAGATATTCACAAAACACAAGATAATTCATTTACAGATTTGCATTAAATTTAATTAAACATGAGTTACTTGCTTATTTATGCCATCCATGTAAATGGTCTGATCATTAGGTTTCGCACATTTTGATGTTAGTGTCATTATGCACGTGAACCATTGCATTGTTGGGGCCTGGAGGTGTAGGCACTTTGCTGCTACTTTATTGTGTCTTATTACGTATTTATGTTCGGATGGTCCATACAGGACTCGAGTTCTCTGAGTTGCCTCTTGTATGATATCACGTGAGTTTGAAAGTATTGTACCTACCTTGTCTGAAGCTGAAATTTCCCCTAATTATTGAAGGTTTGCTGTGTTGTTGGCATATTTTATTGCTGGGGTTCTTTTATTTAGCCTATGGCTCTCAACTCGCAACGGATACAATTAAAATGCAATAACAATATTTACTTACTGTCCAGCAAAATGACATCAATACAACTACACGCGTTTAACTAATAATTTCTCTAGCTCATAAGGGCCATAAGAAGGTACTGCTAACCAGGAACCAAAGAAATTCATGAAGCAAATGATTTCGATGTCAGCAGGACCCAGATGCTTAAGTAGATTATCAATGATAGTTATAGGAAAATCAAATACCAATGGCCTTCAAAACCTGCAAATAGAAGGACCAAACATGCAAGCATATGCATTTGCTAACCGAATCCTCGCTCATAAGAGCTCGAAAAATGTACCACCTAGAACCAGGTTATAATATGTGTTCAGCTTCAAGCGTTCAAGCTTAAAACCAAAAGCTTGAACCATTTTCTTTTTCGTATTCCGCAGACATCCAACTGACCTTGAGATCACCCTGTTCATGAATACGGAAATTCTCGAGCATATGCATAATAAGAAAAGCGAAGGAATGCATAACTGAGATTTTGGGGAAAAGTGTAACATTAGAAGCTTAGAACCCCAGCAGGAGCAAAAAAGAATCCGAAGCTCATAAGTTTCGTAGCAGATCTTAGAGATTTCAATGGGGAGAGACTGAAGCTCAGAGCTAACCTGTTGACAACAAGAAAACCCAGGAAGAAGCTGGCAATGCAAAAGAAAGAAACCCATCTGGTCGAGAAGCCATTGCCAACCTTGTGTTGTCTGCTCAATGCCATCTGAATCAGAAAGCTCAAACTTTACGGAAGCTTCCTGCAGAGCGTAGTGATGAACATCAAGGGGATACACTGGAGAATCCCATGAGAGCAAAAAACATAAAGCGGCGTGTAAGAGGAAAAAGAACAAAGTGATGAGCTAAATGGTCCGAAATGCAGAGAGATTGAATTATCAGAAGACGGAAGAGAAAGAGATGCATGCTAGTCCAGGCTTCGATTCCTAGTTTTCAACTGTCGTGGAGAGGATCCACATTTGTATTGACATGCCTCGATCGGTGATCAGTGATCACGCATAAGTCAGCACAAAATTCCAGTAAAAATTGGAGAATGACATTTAAGTTTAAAAAAAAATCAACACTCTCTCTGTTTAAAAATAAAATATTTTTTAAAAAATTAAATATTTAAAAATATAAAATATTTTTATCTTTTATAATATAATTATTATTTTTTAAAAAAATTATTTATATTAAATAAATTATTTTATATTTATTTTAAAATGAAATATCTTATTAAATAAAAATAAAAAATGAATAATTATTTTATTGAAAAATGATATTAAGTTAAAAATGTCTTAGATTTAATCAGTCAATTTTCTGAAAAATTAGCCTCCAATTTTAATTTTAAAGAACTTTATTTATTTTCAAAATATGAAAAGATGGATCTTGAAGCTCTAAAAAAAAAGAACAGAGACTTTTATTGGACACAACTTTTAACTGATGCAAATGAGAAAACAATTATAAATAAAAAAATGTATTGAAATAAAAAAAAAGCAATAAAAAAGTTCCTCAATGGTCACACGGGTACAAATTAATTGATGAGGTAGAACATTTAAAAATAACTGGTGAAACAATAAATTATGAGATTTGTTCAAAAAAAGCTAAATGTGAGGTAATTTTTATTGATAACTCAAAAAATGCCAATTCTCATACACATGAGTAATAGTTAAGTTTCTAACAAAAATTTTAAAAAAAATTAATTGTAAATATCAATTTAAATAATTATAAATAAAAATTTAAATTGCAAACTAATTTTAAATATTATATTTATAATTAAAATTTTTAAATTTATAAATGTTTGAATAGATATTTATAATTTACTTTATAAAAAATTTAACTATTATTAATTCATTCTTTTAAAATTTTATTGTGATTATACCAAAATCAGGGGGCAGTTAATATATTGAGTCAATGCAATATAATTCAGCTGTCAATGACTTTATAATAATTAATTCTCTTTATAATAATTAATTCTCTTATATAAGATCTAACTGTAATTATCTCTAATATATTATCACTAAATAAAAATGGCCAAAGACATATTATTTTTTTATTAGACCCGGGGGTTTATGTCTTTTTTAATATGCTTAATCTCTACAGGGAAATTTTTCCTCAGATCACCTCCAATCATGCTCTGGCATTCCGATGGAGAATAATAATAATAATAATAATTTTGTATTTCACTGCCGTCCTCTACCTCTTGTTAATTAAGCAGCAAACCTTTTATCAAACTTCAGTCACCCTTTCCTTCTTTTCTTTTTTTTATTTTAATATATTTTTGGCCTGCATTATCTTTTTATTTCATACAAGTTCAGCTGGGTTGAGAATGGATTTAAATCCTTTGAATTTAATATTGATGAATTTATGTGAAATTTTCTTTTTTAAGAAAGAGAGAGAAAAGTTTATATTTTATATTTTTATATTTTACAAAAAATGATAAAATAAATTAAAAAACCAAAAGAAGAAAACTTTATCCAAATTTACCAATTTCAACTTAGAAAATTTGAATCCATTGAAAATTGAAGCTTACCAGAAATAGGACTCTAGATTCAAAAAATATTTACAAAAATACTTGTATATTGCATTGCATACCAACTAGTGCTTTATATTGACTGTGGGATTTTTTGAATCTTGTATGTTGAGTCAAATTATTATTAACTAAACTAACAAGTGCTATTTTTTTTCATTCCTTTGATCATATTTGTCTCTTCCTTTTTTCATTCTTCTTAATATTAATAAATTTCTTTTTTTTTTTTAGCGGTGGACATGAGACCTGCTTTGTCTATTTTTGCACATTCCTTTTACATTGTTGTCTTCTCATAATGTTGTTGCCTTATTTTTACCATTCTCTTCATTTAAAAATATAAAATATTTTTTAAAAATTTGATATTATATTTTTTAAAGGGTTTGATATTAAAAAATATAAAGTATTTTTAATATTTTGAGATATAATTAATGTGCTTTTTTCTAACATTACTCATAATTAAAAAAAACTCTTTGTATTTATTTTAAAGTGTAACACCCTATTAAATAAAGATAAATATAGAAAAATGGTATTAGTCTGTAAATAATTAACTAAGGGTGTTCAACTTGTACTCATCTCGATTGGCCTGGTTCTATTTAGAAAAAAATTGAGATAAGACTTTGTCAGATGAAGTAAGACATGGAAAGTCTCGTCCTATCCTAAATATTATATATATATATATATTATTTTTTTAAAAAATATACATTAAATATATTAATTATATTAATATAATTTATTCCTATATTTATCTATTTAATAACTTTTATTTATATCATATTTCTTATTTTATTTTGAAAGAATCACTAGCTTAACATGTCTTAGCTGAAGAAGAAGAACAATGAATTAATATTGTACCTGATTTGTTTGTTGTTGTTGCTTTTATAGCTTAGATATCACTTATAATTGCTATCATAATATGTTGTCTCATATGTACTTGACTCTATATTGTACACTTGTAACTGTGATTGATATAATTCAATAATTAATTTTAAATTATTGTAATTTATGTACTCAAGTTGTTTTGATTTTAAACTTAATAAGTTATGTGATTTCAAATTTAAATGAATGTTATTATCTAGTCATTTCTTCTATATTGCATGCTTTGTCTTGATCTTGTCTCGATTTTTAACGAGACAAGATGACTTTCGAGATAAGACGGGAACACGAGAGAAAAATTCAATCTCAATCATTTTTCAAGATAGAACATGAAACAGGGGTATCTCGATCATATTTGGTCCTATGAACACCTTTATAATTAACTATTTTATTTAAAGTGAGATTAGATTAAAAATATCTATAGATAGAGTATTATTATTGTCATTATTATATAAGGCATTTATTAGTTATTACGCAGCAACATAGACTCTTCCTCTCTTGTAACAATTTAAAAAGTGTAATATATGCTCTTATGTTTGTTTTGAATTGTGAATTTTTTTTCAAATACCTGGAATTGTAAGCATGCTCAATTGAGAGAGATAAAATCCTCTATTGATAATTATTGTTTTTGGATAAACATTTCCCTTGCTAATATGTGTTTAGCAATTACTGCTTCTAATCATAATATAGGGCATTTTCTAAAAATTCTACTTAGTCCAAAATATAGAGCATTGTGTAACTTTTATAATTAATTTTTTAACTATACATCTACTTCATTTATTTTTTTTTTGAAAAAAATGATGTATTAAAATTTTAATTATCATTATCAATACACTTATATAGGATATTTAATGAGAATATAATTAAAAAATGATAAAAATCTATTTTTACCCCTAAAGTATTTTGATAGAAGTACTCAATAGCCTAAAATCTTTGTCGTAGTATTTTTACCCCTTAGGTAATTAAAACATAGCAAATTTACCCCACCTATTAAATCTTCTGACATTGATCGTTAAGTTGGGTGAGAGAGGGAAAAGTTTGAGTTGTAATGATAGGTGTCGTCTGATGTGAAGCTAAGTGGAAGAGTAGACTAAAATCAAAAGGCCAAAATGAACATTTACTCTCTATATTGCTTTCTCACTCTTCAATTTTTATTTTATTTTATTTTAAAAAACACAATTAAACAAAGCAAAGAAGTCATTCAACTCTTCTTCCCTAGTGTTTATCATCATTGTTGTCTTCTTTCCCATAACAAACTTTAAAGACAAAAGGACCATCCAAGAAAAACTGTTTTCCCATTTTACTCAAAGATGGAGTCATCAAAGCAGCTCGAGAGGCTGAATCCTCAATACTAGATTGCTCTAAACTTTTCAAGGAAGTGAAACATCTCCACCATGCTCCAATCCATTGTCCGACTTGCTTTCACCACTCCCTCTCTCTACGAGTCACCCGTTCACTGGATCATCACTGAAGTCTCCAAGAACCTCGAACAAGCCCTAACCCTTGTTCAAAGCATGAGAAACACAATATGGTTCTTCATCAAGTCTTCTCCATTACTTCTATTGTTGACTTTCAAAGAGTTTCAAACCTTCTTGAATCTTCTATCCATGACATGAAGTGGCTTCTCGATATCTTTGATTCTGACAGTGGTACCAAACTAAGTCTCCCTCTGCTCACTAGCAACGACCTAAATCTCACTCTTAGGTTTATCCTACACAGCCACAATTCAAATAGGTCTTGAAATATCTCTCTCCACTAAACACTATTAACCAATAAAACTCATAGTAATTAAAGGATTAACTCAAAGAGTGATTACTAAAGTTTAATTCAAAAGCAAGGGATCTCAAGTTTTTCATAATCATAAAGTGTTTAAAACGATCAATATCTCTTATATCAGAGTAAAAATAAGTTACTAAAGGCTGGGATACCTAAGAGAAGTGAAAGAAATTGAAAACAAGAGAAAAGGACAACTCTTTAATGTGTAACAGAGCAGTGCATTACAACTTGTGCATGCTGCACCATGGCGTGTTGCATGAAAGTTTAGCAGATTCTGCTATCATCTAACAACAGAATTAGGGAACTTCTGATGCACCCCGATTCTCCGTCCGAATGACGTAATCTAGATGTCTATGGAAAGCTCTTAACATAAACCAGATAATGGCACATATTTCACTTTCAAAACAAGTCACACTAGAAAGTTGGACACCCAAATGTATTTTAACCACTTTTTACAACTATTACTCAAAATGAGTGTCAAAAGCCCTTAACATGTGCTGAAAAGCCTGGACCATATCTATTGAACTCATGACTACTAATACAACACATCATACACACTTAAACCATAGTATAACAGAAATTTACTTCTCAATTCATTTTTACCAAAAACAAAAGGGGAGGCAAATTGTCATTACATTACACCCAAATTAATCAAAACATGTTAAAATCATCATTTTTATACTTACACTGATATTTTAGCCCTAAAAACATATATATCTCATATAAGTCAAACATTTTCAATAACAAAATACTGCAAGTGAGATGGCATGCAATATAGAATTGACAAACATATACTATTACATAAATAAATATAAACTAAAGGCATACGATAGGAATATGCTAATTCCTAGCCTCTTGAGTCTTCTTCCTCTTAGTACCAAAGCTAAAGCCTGAAAAGTGTTAAACGAAAAGGGTGAGTTTGGCCACTCAGTAATCAAGATAGAACTTACCCTATGCAGTTATATATCAATCATAAACCAAGTACATGCACAAGAAATCAAGTACGTAAAACATACTCACACATATCATAACTTATGATTTCTCATTTAACAACATCTTTATCTCACAAATACTAGATGTATTGTCACCATATTTTCAGGTATGTGATCATAACCCATTATTCACGTGACTTGTAATAACTTAACACGTGTGACACATCATATATTTATTTAGGCAATGATCAACCAACCTTATATCCTTCTTATTTTCTTAAACCGAAATCGTTGGCTATAACATTTATTAAGACTCTGTCCATGTGACTGGACTATCCAAACTCACCAATTATAAGGTGTGACTCGGTCAAAAATTACATGACTTACTCTCAGACCACGATTTTTCTCATTCTTAAATTTTTGGGGTGTCTCATACCCTAAGCTGTTCTCCTCATTAAACTGGTAGAAATATTAGATTCTAGTCCCTCGATAAATTGTAAAACAAGGTTATACCCCCGTGCACCAAAGGGCAACCTAAATATCATATGAATTTTTCTCTACTCCCAATCCCTAGGCAAACTCTTGCCTACTAATCATGCCATAAACAATACTCACTCTTTTCACTTTTTTCTTTGCTCATTATCAAAATTAACACATTAGGCTCACGACCAAGCGCTACCCAAGTGCACATCAACTTCTTATCTTTCACTTATATCACATACACCTATTTTTCAATCACACTTGCTCATCTTTGTCAAATCAATCACTCACTGCTCATTTACAACACATCATCACATTCATCTTTTTAAAGACATATGCATGTTCATAGTTCAAAAACATTTTGATTTGGCATTTGCATTTTAAACCGTAATAACGTCATGCACATTTAATTTTCATATACTAATTGAAACTAACACATGCTTTTTGCATTGAAAATCAACCCATGCATACAATATTCACATTTAGAAGTCAATTTACAAGCAATTGATATATAACTATTCAAAATAGAGTTTTCCCTGATTACCTCAATTCTTTGAGAGGTCAAAGGTTTACCTCTCAATGTTATAGCTTCCAAGCTTGAATTTTCAAGCCAAATATGTAATCAAGATCCAAAACTACAATCAACCAAGTTGAATTTCATCATCATACTAATTCAAGCATTAAATCCTCAATCTCCACTTCAAAATTATCCAAAGTCCACTCTACAAGAGTTTGAGCCTATCCATTAGATTTATTATCTATCTTGAGTCTCCAATAATATCAATGAGCCATTAAACTCCCATTAATAGAATCACGCTTTTCCAACCACCCATATTAATTGTAAATTTTGAACATTAATGGTGTCCAACAACTTAAGACACTAAAAATTTATTATACTAGATTTTGATACTCTAATATACTTTCATTAACTCCATTTGAGTCACTAAATTTAAACCCATAACTTATATAGATCAAAAATTATCTTTCACAATCAAAAACTATAAACTTATAAATGTGAAAGAAATTGAAAGATTAATGAGTGTGGCGCTTACCTTAGGTACGGTGTTTATAGCCTTTAAAATACTCTCAATGTCGTCCACAAGTAAACCCTAGCAGAGCTTGGTACGTCTTTCTATTTTCTGTTTTCTCTTTTTTTGTCTTATTTTCATGATTGATATCTATAGAAATTGACAATGCGCCACACAGAGAGGTCCTCCCTCGCATCAGAAGTGTTTGTGCGCCATGACAAATGATCTCTATACCACAACGCGTGACACAGCAACATCACTTTTCATTTTTCTTCTTCTTTTGATGCTCGGGTGGCCTAACTTGATACCGAACCCATAATTTAGGCTGAAATACAATCAAATTTGTTTATTAGACCTCTCTAGCCACACACCACCTCAACTTATTTAATTATCCTAATTAGGTTAGTCTATCGTGAAATTAAAAATTGAGATGTTACAGGTCCAAGCACAACTAAAGAGTAAATTTTCATTTTGTCCTTCTGATTTTAATCTACTATTCCACTCAGTTCCATGTTGGATGACACCTGTTATTACAAGTCAAACTTCTCCCTCTCTTACCCAACATAATGGTCAACATCTGGAGATTTAACGAGTGGGGCAAATTGGCTAAGTTTTAATTACTTAAAGAACAAAAATACTGCAGTAAAGACTTTAGGTCACTAGGTGCTCCTACTGAAATACTTTAAAGGCAAAAATGGACCTTTGTCTTATTTTTTAAATAAATTCATGTTTCAACTAATCTTTTTTTATAATCCTGAATTAGTTACAAATACCCTATAATATAGTATGAAGAAAGTACATGAATAGAATTACCTTGTTAATAAATCATATTATATTAAAAATAAGATAAAAAAATTAGTTCAATGGCATCAAAAAATACAACTACCATAAATTATGGATGGAGTTTTTGAATATTTTAGAATATGGTTCATTCATAAAATCAATTAAATGTATTTTTTTATTCTCAGAATAAATTTATTGTTAAAACAGAATATATATGATTTAACTAATCTTTAGTCGACTGGATCTTTTATTTTATCATCAAAAATTGTATTGTGCGTACTCTCTCTTTGATTTATCATCTTTGAATATTTTCTTCATCGTTTTTTTGGTTTGATTTTTTTTGGATTATCATATTCATCTCTCGTACAGTGCTTTTCTTCATCAGAATGTTTTATCTAATTTTCTTGGATCACCATCTTCATCACATAGCTTTTCTCCTTTCTCCCTCTCTATTTTTCCTAGATATTATGAAGAGGTCATTAAACATTAAAGAGAAAATTTTATTACTAATCTACGATACTACATCATTAATATACGATTGTATATCAATGATAAACAAATTGCAAGTTTTTGCTAATATGACTCATATATTAGTGATATATAATAGCATATCATTGATATATTATCGTAAATTAACATAACCAGAAAATCAGATATAAACTTATTTATAATTAATATAGAGTCGTATATCAATGACATAGCATTACAGATCAATAATTGCCGAAAAGAAAGAATTCTTTTTTTAATTAAATTTTCATTTTCTAAATATTAATAAATATTTTCATTTCACAAAAAATATATAATCATTTTTCCAAATTAGATCAAACATAATCCACAAAAAAATTTGGACTCTTAACTTATCATAGATAATTAAATACCTAAACTTATAAAATAAAAAGTTATGACTCTGTAGTATGTTCCCTCATCAACTTGCTCCGTTCCATTGAAGTATCTCACCTCGTGTTTGTCTCTCGCCCTCATAACCATGGCTTACTTGTATTGTTATGCTATCTCACGTTCGTCTCTCTCACATCAAGTTCTGTCTTCTCTCTCATTCAAGAGATTTTTCACATTTTAAATCTCTTGGTATTTTAAAAAAAGATATTAAAGAGGGCAATTTTATAAATTAATTATAATTTAAATATTAAAAAGGCTATTTTTAAAATTTAAAAAAGGATAGGCTATTTCTTTTAATTGGTATTATAATATAGGCTATCCATGCAAAAGCCCCAATAAAATATTGACATACTGTTATTTTATCATTAATAATTAAAAATTAATATGATTGTTGATCTTTTTAATGGTGGCATTTTACTCTGCACCTATTTACAGATGGGATATTTAGGCTAATAATCATTTAGTGTGTTTTTCTGTTCTAATTTTATATAGTACATATGATAGTGATTTGATTTACCTTTTCAAACTTTATGTGATTTTGAAGGGGAAAAAAAAAATTGAACTTCCATGCAAGTGAACATGAACAGAAAAAAAAATTTATTACATATCCTCTTAGAATTACTTATATTTAAGATTTAAGATTTAAGATATAGTCATGCGCTGTGTGTGTGTGTGTGTGTGGGTGTGTTATATTCACAAAATATTTGAATTTTGGCAGATCATTTTATGAATTTTTTTTAATTAAAATGACCTTAAATTTAATTTAGGTGAGACGTTTCCTTTTTTTTTTTTTTGGGACAGAAGAGGCATTGGGTTTTCAATTTTGGGAGTGCCCAGAGGATGGTGATTCTTTCAGGGGGCTCGAGGAGGGAGACGAAAGGATAAGGGCGTTTTATCCAAGTTCAACGGTTGAGCTTTCTGTTTAGGCAAGAATCATCCATCTTTCCCCTTTAGGATTCAATGTCGTCGATTCACCTCACCTGTCAACGGCCTCTTCCTTCTCTGAGTTATTCTTCTTCTTCTTCTTCCATATTCTCTTTCAGCTTCAGCCCCACCAACATTTCCCTCCACCACTCTAATAAAAGTCGTCCTCTTCTCAGGCGACTCAATGTTTTCGCCATGGCTCCTCCTAAGCCCGGCGGGAAGGCCAAGAAAGGTACCATTCTTTTCTTTACCCTAATTCCCCCAGTGTTTTTCTCCTTGCTGAATTGTGCTTCCTCTCTCTCTCTCTCTCTTTCTCAGTTATTGGAGTGATCAAGCTGGCTCTTGAGGCTGGCAAGGCCACCCCTGCGCCTCCCGTTGGCCCCGCCCTCGGTTCTAAGGGTGTCAACATTATGGCCTTCTGTAAGGATTACAATGCCAAGACTGCTGACAAGGCTGGTTATGTCATCCCTGTGGAAATCACTGTCTACGATGTGTGTTTATCTGTTCTTTTACTCTGGTTTCCCTGTTGGGCTGTCTTTCTATTTCTTTCAATTTCTTGTTTCTTCACGGATTTTACTATATGCTCACAGGATAAAAGCTTTACCTTCGTATTGAAGACACCGCCTGCCTCAGTTCTGCTTCTTAAGGCAGCAGGTATGTTGTTTAGCAGTGCCCACAAGCTGTTTGATGTCGTGTCTCGTAGTGTAATTTATCTGTTGTATTGCTTTAGCTTCATCTGTTGTATTGCTTTAGCTTCCTTTTATTTGAAATTTCATTTTCCCGTTGTTGTTACATTGTGAGCTAAAATTGAACGAGGACCAGCTCTTTTGAACTTGCACGGAACTGTTGGATACCTTACAAAGAAACGCTTGGTTAAAGAAGCTTTATATTCTGAGTCCAGCCGAGTACTTTCCTGGATAATTAGACATTGTCGATCTTGGCTTTGCGTTGTATGGATTTTATATTTGTTGCCCATTGTTCTTTTTCATATTATGGATGTGGATATAGGTTGTTATTGGTAATTGGGCAGAAGGAGGGAATAAATGGTGCTTTTCTTTTCACGGGAAGTGACAAATTGGAATCGATTAACGATGTTGTGGTTGGGTATGTATGTAGGGGTGGAAAAGGGTTCGAAAGACCCCAAGATGGAAAAGGTAGGAAAGGTCACAATTGATCAAGTGCGTGCAATTGCTACTGAAAAGCTGCCAGATTTGAATTGCACAACTATTGAATCAGCCATGAGAATCATAGCAGGTACTGCAGCAAATATGGGAATTGATGTTGATCCTCCTGTTCTTGAACCCAAAAAGAAGGAGATCCTGTTATAAGGCCTCATGTCTAAACTTGCTGCTTCATAGAACTCACTAGCAATGTGACAAGGCCTCCTGTTGCTTGATCACCCAAGGTATTTAGCGTATTGTCTTCTTCCGGAAAGCTTTTTGTAAGTGATGGTGCCTGTCTCTCGGTTAGTCTTTCCCCGCCCAGTCATTAAAAGTTTATAACTCATGTTTCTCACAGCAAATGAGAAAGCCGCAGCCAATTTTCTCAATATTTAGGCGGAGCTTGCATGCGCATAGATCATTCAGTTTTTTCAGTCCACACGTTGTTCCAGTTGTCTTGGTGTATTGGATTTAAATTTAAATTAAATTTAAATAATGTTCTTGCAAAGAATGTCATCTCCGCCATCTCTTTCATTCTCTTCATCTAACTACTGATACTCCGAAGAACTTGAAATATTACAGAAGCTCGACTCCTAAATAATAATCACACGAGCGAACAATAAAATCTTGGAGTCCTATGTCCAATATAGTGGGTGCTTGTCTAGTTATCTCTTGGCATAGGCAGTGGTAATCAAGAAACCAATATATGGGTTTGGCCCTGGACTCCTTCACGCGCAGGCACTAGCTAGTAGCTACCTAGTTCACTTGGACTTCTATATGTACAACTTTTTTATCTTTAGTGATATTTGATCTTTTAATGCCTTTTTTTTTTTTTTACAAAAAAAGGACTCCTTCACGTGCAAGCGAAGAGGAATTAAATATGTTTCAAACAAAACTAAAAGTCAAATTCGCTGAAGACACTCGCACCAGTTGAGGAGGCCATAGGCATCGCGTAAAAACACGAGAAAATTTACTAGCTCAAAAGCAAAGGCCTCCTGTATCGCAGATGTCGAATAAAAATTAACGGTGATGCGAGCAGAGCTCTTAAAAAAGAAATTAACGTTCAAGGTTAAGTAGAGCCATCGAGGGAAGATGCTCTCCTACGCTCGTTCGGGTCAAACATTTTTTATGAAGACGAGGGAATCAACCTGCCTCACTTTGAGTAACTTTTTTTTTTTTTTAATGAAGATTGGGAGAGTTGCTCCCCTCCCTTCCCCTCAAAAAAGGAGGGATTTGGAAGAGTTTTTAATTAAAATGGTAATGAGCGAGTAAATGATACTATGATAGATCTTGGTGGTGCTTCTCCAAGTTATAGTTCCCCACATGCAGAGGGCTCCCCCCCCCCCCCGGGCCCGGAAAAGAAAAATAATAAAAAAATATAAAAGAAAAGTGAGGCTTGTAAGATTGCAAGACAAGGGAATGATTAAACAAGGTAATTCCAAATCAAAACAAAATTAGAATTTTTGTTACCACAATCTCGCTTGACAAATCCAACGCCTGTGCTGATTGTCTCAAGTCCTAAAGTTTTAATCTAAACCAAATAAGGGGAATTACACTCCCACAAGAATTGAAGCTTACTCAGCCGTCACATAATCAAATCTCAATGTGAAGGATAAATTATGAAAAGGATTACACTTATAATCAGATAGCATTATTAGTCCACGTACTCAGCAACTCCCATTCAGTCCGTCGATGAAGTTGCCTTTTCTTTTCATCGAGGTGCTGAAAATAAGGCTTTGCTAATTATGCCTGTGGCCTCAATATATCGATCCACACATCTAGAGATGCAACTGCTTTCACCTCCACTTAAGCTTGACCCTGGTTTTGTGATACACTTCTCAAAACACTTCCCCCTTACTGTCTGTAAAGTAAATAACAATTGCAAGACAAATGTTAAGTTAAGCGAATCATCTTGGATAAAATCAGCGCCCAAAATAGTACTCAATTATCAACTAACATTTTTGGCACCTTCTTAGTTCCTAGCATTGCCCTTCCCTGGCAATTACATGAAAAAGCTTTATTGTTTTCCCCAAGGCACACTTCTTTGGTTAGGAAATAAGCTAAATAAACATAAAGTAATTTGAAGACTAAATTTTCCAGGAGAAATGAAAAGGAACACGATCAAAAATCAATAAACAAACTTATCCTCATTCAAATAATTAGCGGCAAATAGATAAATGTTGACTTTTGTCATCAATGATGTTAACAGAAACATCACATTAATAACCAGTTATTCTTGGTAGTAACACCATTATATAACCTTTGTTCAACAAGATAAAAAGGCCACCATGCAATTTATGTGGTTAGATCAATCTATCCCCATTAACTGGTCATAACAGGTAAATTAATATTTTTAAGTTGGCACTTGTGAGTACTTGATATAAAACTGGTTGGTGTCTAGCCGAATCTTTCAGCTTTATAATACATACAGCATTGTGTGAAATAATTTCCGTACTACGTAAGTCCCCATCAACTGAGGAGGCATCAAGTTAACAATCTATCTCGTTCAAACTTCACTACTCTAAGGGAATTATTCAGTTATAGTCCACAAGTTGTACTGAATATGAATACGCTAAATCCAGTAAATTAAGCAGAGGTCTTCGCAATGTTTCACCGTCCACATTTGAGGAGGGATATAAGTTCATTGTTCCATAAACAATAAACGAAAGAGCAGAAAAAGGAGAGTAACGATCATTTGAATAATAGAAAGGGCACAGAGGGAAAAAAAAACAGAAGAAAGAAAAAAAAACCTCGAGGAATTCTTCGGCATAGGCCTGAGCAAGCTGTGTCTTGAGCTGGTCTTTGAAATCCGCTGTGTTGAACTGAGACGATGATCCACTCGAGGGACTTGAGAATGAATCCATTTGCTTCGCTTCTCTCAAGCCTGAATCTTCCGCCTACCGCCTCTGCCTCTTCTGCTTCCCAGCTGGTCTGAACTAACCTAGCGGCAAGCGCGCTCTGATTTTGTTCTGTGAATTTTTTTTTTTTGGTAGAATTTTGTTCTGTGAATTGAAATGGTTCATCCGACCCTCTACTGAATCAATAAGGCAGCCCAATCTTGATTTGGGCCTATCCCACTATGGGGAATGTTTGAATCTATTTGTTCAAAATACATAGACAACAGATGTGGGATCCAGGATTCTTACGGTGAACAATGGGGAATATTATCGGTGATCGATCTGATTTTCTTATAATTAATGGAATTTTCGGGGGATAATTCTGTTGACTGCCGTATCAGAATCACATTTATCTCTTGTTGAGAAGGCAATCATTATCTCACCCTTTTTTCTTTTTTCTTTTGGAATAGTCAGGGCAAGCATAACAACCTGGACCATTATGTCACCCTGAACTCACAGGTCACAAGCATTACTGTGTTACGGCATGCAGTATTGTAGTTTCCTACCCAACTTTCACGGGCATTTAACTATATATATCACTCAATTATTAACAAAATCAATTATTCTAACTAGAGGTCTTTGGGTTCTTGTGTTGAATGAGCTTATCATGAAATTTTAAATTAGAGCATTGAAATAGGAAATCATATTAAATAAAAATATTAAATTTATATCTAAGATATTCATGAAACTATCATTATATAATATAAATTGTTATTGTTATTATTATTTTATTAAAAAGGTTGTATTGATGACTTTTGTTATGCCGCGCACCTCTTTATGAAAATTTGAGATAAAGTTTGGTACTAAATTTGATTTTTTTAATTATAAAAAGTTGGAAATTAATTATATACATTTTCAATTCAAACATGATTGTCACGGAACATGCACACCCATGCACTTTTGAGTTTTGACTTTATTGCCCCCTCTCAGTCCGTTACTTCCTCTATTGGACCGTAATATAATATATTACTGATAATTAATTTATGATTTTAAAAAAGATGTCAGTTAAAATTTTATTTTAAAAAATTTTACATATTTTTAATTATATTCTTATTAAATATTTTATTTAATTATATTAATAATAATAATTAAAAAATTAAAAAATAATAATAAATAAAGTAAGGTCATAATTGAAAAAATAATTATAAAAGTTACTCGATATTTTATTAGATCAAGTAACGGTTCTAAATAATATGTGTATTGTGGTCTGGAAAGAATATATGTGTATATATATATATATATATATTACTCTTTTCAATTTAAAATATAAATATATATATTACTCTTTTCAATTTAAAATATAAATATTTTTATTCAACTAACTTTGGTTCAAAATATGGACAGAGAGGGGGATGGGGAATGCATCGCAAGTTGATTAATTATAAATTAAGGAAAACGTGTTCAATATTTTATAAAAGAAAGGTCCATAATATATTAGCAATCCAGATTCTTCTTGTGTATACCGAATAAGTTGACCTTGTGAAATTAACTAAAAAGATGGATAGAAACATGGGAAATTAAGCTAACTTCTAAATTCTAACATTACAAGTGTAGTGAGACATGGAATAAAGCTTCACATTAAAAAGTCAGAAAGACTTTCGAATAAAAGACATTCTCAAGTCTCTCTTTTTAATTACAGCCTCTGCAATGCACTGCAGGAATCCACATCCATATTTCATAAAATATATCGGTGCTACTTGATTTGTTTAACAGCACAACGTCCATTACATGAGTAATCAAGTGGCGGTGGGTTTAATTAGCGGAGAAAAAGGCCAGAGCCCCGACCAGGGGTGCATTGATGTAAGTCGCCGGCTCGGATTGCTGATAGTTATTCCGATCATCAGAGAACCGGTCGGAACTGTCGGGTCCTCCGACGATGGCTCCGACCAAGATATTCGGGTTAGGAGAGGAAGAATGGAAGTACTGAAAGCCGTCGTCGCAGGAAATACGTTGAGGGTGATCATGAATGGAAGGTACAGAAGAACCCCTGTGGTGAATATTCTTTGGATACCTCTCTCCAAAACCCACCATGTAAGATGTTTTTTCCGGATTATCCCCTAAAATGTAATCAACTTGCTTTCTGGCCAGTGCAACGAGGCTCTGTGCCGTCACGGTGGAGCCGCCGCACCGCACTCCAATGGAGCTCGAACTCAGATACTTGGCGTAAGTCAAAAGCAGCAAGCTCGAGGATGTAACATACTGCAGATTGCTCTCGCTGCCTTTGTAAAGAAGCCCACCTGCTAATTCATCACTTCTGTTATTTCTCTTAACTCAGAAGTCTAAACCAACTTCAAAAAAACAAAAATCCCAATCTGGAATACTTCTTCTGACCTGGAGTGTACTGAGCCTGAAATCCTGGCGATCCTGGTACGAGTGAACATATGTAATTGTCCGCGTGTGATTTATATACTTCCATTTCTTGAGTATTCTTCTCCAAGAATTCCTGTCACAGTATGTATGTAAGGTATCAGCATGAGCCTTAGATAAAGAAAGGAAAGAGAGAGAAAAGCTCATTATGAAAACCTGGGAGAGTAGAACTTTAGTTCCCGCTCGCTTGTCATCCCAACTGAAGGAGTAGGTATCATCATCTGCACCTAACACGTGGCCATTGGATTGTATATAACTCATATAGGAACTACTTCCAGAGGCTTTGTAAATCCACGATGCACCCCACAGAAGCTCATCCTGATCACAACGCATGTATGTGTCCGTGAATATTTGAGACGACGGGGCTGGGTTGAGAAAGAAACAATCGATGATGCTACATGTATGTAACTTACATGATATCCAGAGTAGGAGCAATAGAATGGGCAGACCACGGAATTAAGAGAGTCACTATAAGATCCCCTGTAACGGTCTGCAAAATCGAATATCTGGAAAGAGAGTATTCACGAGATGAGATGCGGGTGTTTAAATATATGCATGAAAACAAATGGGAAGGCAAGTGTTGATATTATACTTTAATGGCGGCTTGAAGTAATTTGGAGGAATACTGAGGGTCTGATTCTTTGAAGACTAAAGAAGAAGCTGCCAATGCAGCAGCAGTCTCGGCGGCCACATCTGATCCTGGGCTTTGAGGGGTCACCTTATACACGTTTCTAGGAGTGTCCATGTCCTCTGGCCTTTCCCAGCACTTATGGTCCATGTTAGGCTCTCCCACCTGCAATCCAACAAATCCATTCAATTCATTTTCTATAACTTATTAGTTGTTAAATCAAGAGTGCATCTGGACTCATACTTGGACGTATAATGTATCAGGAGTGGAAGTTGCTGCTTTAAGGAGATAATCAGAGCCCCAGCGGACAGCAGCTCTGGCATTTTCAATCTGGTCATGCATGGAGCTTCCGAATTCAAGGACACTCCATGCCAATAACGTAGTGGTAAATGCCATTGGAAGCCCAAACTTGACGTTGTCTCCTGCATCATAATAACCCCCCACCAAGTCCACCTGAACCAACCAACCAAACGTGCCTTAGTTTCACAGAATAACAAACCGCCAAGTGTTACTTGAGAGAATGGAAAATAGGAGGAATATATATATATATATATATAGACACACATGATAAGAAGAGCCATCGGACAAGGCAGAATCGCCTCTCCAGGTGAGGCGCTGGTTGGAGGGTAATTTTCCAGAACGCTGGCCTTCAAAGAAGAGAATGGACTTCTCAAGAGCTTCATGGTACTGCTGGGAACTGAATGCATGAGCAGGTGAGCCTAGTGAACAAGAGAGAGTTATTATTAACATAAGGCATAGCCAGAGTGTGGAGGGAGATGGAGAAGCAGACATTGTTAGTGAGTAAAGTACAGAAGTGTGTGAAGAAGATGAATTATATGTATGTGATTTGAAGTGGTGAATATTTGTGAGAAGGTGGGCATTTAATTTATAGATTGCAAGAAGTTGGAAGGCAGGTAAAGTGGCCGTTACAACTCTTACATTGATTGGTTACGGAATCAACTGCACCAAACAAGGCATGTATTTTGTTTCTTGAAGGTTGAATTAAGTGAATACTTCACTTTTTTGGGGCAAAGATAAGGACGAGCACGCGTGAATAATGGCAAAAGGACTTGTGGTTTTGTTTTCCGATTTAAGAGAACGAGCATGGGCACTGTTGTTGGGTCTTTAGAATTATGAGAGGTGGTTCATGAGTGAACAAGTCACGGGACAACGTTAAGAGAGATCGGAGAGTCACATGAGAATATTAATCAGTCAAGTTGAAGGACACGAGTCTGAGAAACAATGTGGGCTTGCATGAGCTTCGTTGAAAAAGCAGAGTACAGAGGCCGAATTTGATAATCCGTAATGTGAATCACGTGACAAGGATATGGATTTAGTAGCAATAGACTTTAGTATAAGAATTTGATGCATAACTTATAAAATTATAAATTTAAATTTGATTATTAATACAAGGATCTTATTAAGAAATAATTTATATTTTATAACTATATGTTTTGATCGTATTGAGTCGTTGACTTAACTCACCTAGACTTTTATTTGCTAGAGGAAAAAATGATATAATTTCACATGGATGGCAAATGATTTGTGCGTTTTAGTCTTTGGGTGGGAATTTGAGCTTCGAAAACAGAGATTAATGCGCCTTGATTTTTGGCATACTTAGCTTCTAAATTCTGCTTTTAAACTAATGAATTCCCTCCTGATTCCAGGACAATGACTCCTTCTCGAGTTTGTTTTGACGACCAAGTTGCTTTTTTCATGCATTAAAATCTGCATTGCAGGCCTGCGCGCTGTGTGTAAATGAACAGAACTCGCATGAATTTGGGACCTTCCAATTCCAACCATGTTTACCTTTTCCTTTTTTTTTTATGCTTCAAATTCAATATTGAACCCATTGGTAATTAGTTTGTTATATAAATTCCCTCCAAGTAATCTTCAGTGTGTAATCAAAGGAAATAAATGTGATATCCTATGAAAGTAAATTAGGGATACCCAGAAATAATAACGGAGTGGCGTTGTTGTACTGTAAATCCTAAAATTAGTCCCTTACTTTGTGACTTTGAAGTATGAACAAATTGGACACACTAACAAAGAAATGAAGTATTCTATTATTTAGTATGCTAACGTTGTTGGTATTCAATTGATCACTGAAGTAATTTGGTATGACATGAGAGGTACATGAGTTTTTTTTCATAATTATAAAATTATTTTCAAATTAAAATTACAAAACAGATTCTTCTTTTATCTTTTAAAATGATTCTTATAAACTGATAACACAGTCAAACATACCCTGTCCTTAGATATATATATATATATATAGAATCATCCCCATCCCCATATGCTTATAATCTCCAAGAAGCCGCCTGTTAGGAATAGTAACAGCTTGCCTTCTCATTGCAGAAAAAAGAAGTCTGAGAGCTTGTAGGCTAAATCATCCCCAAATTATAATTTAATTTATAAAATCATCTTTTTTAAGTCTCAACCATTCTCATGTTCATTGGCCATGCCTCCTCATTATTCTGAAGGACGTCAAGTTATTGCCAACACTAAAAGTCATTGATCACCCAGAAAAAAAGAAAACAAAATGATTGTACATTTATTTCGAGCTCCACGCCTGAATTTAAGCGCACATAATGCAACAAAAGCTGCAATTGGGAAGTGCATTGCAGTCATAATCACTGTTTTCATACCCGAATCGGTCAGACTGATCAAACAATCGGCCGGAAAATAAAAAGGTATGATCAAATCATTTGACCCGTTACAGTTAATTTGAGGTTGACCCGCTTTAACATGGATTTCATCCTTTTTGACTTGGGTGATTCTTGAAGATTCGTAATAATTAAACCATTTCGACTCCTTTTTAATAGGGTTAAAATATATTTTTAATCTTAAATTTTTTTAAAAATAATTTTATCCTGTACTTATAAATAAATCAATTTTACTCTTAAATTTTTTTTAGGAGTGGAAAGATATTTCTACAAAGTACTTAGCACTCCTCAAAAACATAATTTAAAGATAAAATTACTTCACTTATCAGTATAAGGATAAAATTGCTCTTCAAAAAAAAAATTCAATGATAAAAATACATCTTAACCCTTTTTAATATATATATATATATATATATATTATTTTTTATTTTATTATTATATCACCAATTAAACCATGAAACTCATGACTCAATAATCTTTTTAATTCATCATCTGGTCTAGTTTTTAAATAGGAATTCCTAAAGATATTAGACTATTCAGTCTTCAACGTGAACACGAGCAAGCAGCTATTAATTAATTTTACAACGCAGCTTCAAGTTCAAGATGAATTGTCTTTGTTCGTTACTTCATGATCATATCAAGCAACGAAAACTTTGCATTACAGGGAAATATTTAAATTTTAAAATATAATAAAAATATTATTCAGCAATTTATAGTAATTAATGAACATTTTATAATTTCATTAATTCAAAGAAATAATAAAAATATATGAAAACTTAGGGGAGAAAAGACTTAGCTTGTTCCTACGTTGTACGGAGATATTTAAACTTTAAAACACACAGAAATATGCTTATAGTAAAATAAAAATATGAAAATATTCATGTGTAATCATATAAAATAATGAACATGATATTAATTATTGAGTTACATGCTTTTGTTTAATTAATAATTAGTACTTGATTTGGAGGGATCGGATATATTCAATAGGAAAATTTCAAGCATCATCAGCATAATAATAATTCACTTGTTTTTATTTATAGGACAAAATTTTGGAGGATGATTTATTTCTATATTTTTATGAGACAATAGAATGATTCTTCTTGAGCTGTCGTTTTATTGCTGTATTTATAGGCATGAAATTATTAGTTATTAAACTCATGAAGTTAATTATAAAATAATAAACTACAAATTACATTTTTTAGGTTATGAGAAGAACTATGTCAAGGCAGAGTTAAAAATTTTAATTAGGGTGACTGAGATGACAAAACATATATGATAATTAAAGAAAAGTTAAATATATATATATATATATATATCATTGACATAATATAAATATTTTAATGTATATATTCCCATTCAATTTTATTAATATATAACAAAAATAAATATATATATATCTTTACTTTTTTTAAGTTTTGCTCTTTAATTTTTTATAGCATCAAAATAATTAATTATCATGTCTATAATAAAATTTTCAACAATTTCCTTTTAAATATAAACTATCATTCAATTGATAAAAAATTCATCTTTTTTAGTATTGAATGATTTAAATACATCCTTAAGATTTGTAATTGTGTTCAATTTAAAAAGCTCTATTATTGGTTTGTCGAGTTTAATATTTAATTTTTTTAATTGATTATCGATGACTATAGTAAATATATTAACATAGTAATGATACTCAATTGTCACAAATCTTTGTCTAAGAGATCAAATTATATTAGAGTTAAAATCATTTATATCATATGCTTCAAAAATTTGATTATTACAAAAAGAAAAGTAACTTTTTCTAAAAAAATATCTTAACCATAATCTATTAACTTTTAAATAAGCTAAGTGATTTTATTGTAGACATCAAACACATAATATTCAATATATTTTAAAATTTTTGTCACAAGCTTGATAAAGTTTGTCAATAAATTTCATAATTTTTTCATCAAATGAAAATAAAAACAAAATTAAATAAGATCAATTTTTTAAAAGTATATGTAGCATTGTTTCATTAAAAATGACATATACAAGATAACACATAAAAATGAAATGAGAACTTCATCTAGTATTTTTATGCCTATGTAATGTGTCAACCTAAAATAATAAAAGTGCATAACTCCTATATTTTACTAATTAAAAAAATTAAAAAGTCAAGGGTGTAGATGCCCTAGTCTGCACCCCTAACTAGCTATACTTCCACAATAAGGTAGTTGTAAACTTAAAATATACATACATGTGTGTGCGTATGAGATGAGAAGACATAAGAATAGACATTTAAATAAAATGTTTTGAATTCATGACATCATGAAGAGTTTTAAAATAGTAAGATTTATTACACGTTTATAATTGAAGAAAAAACTGTTAGTTCGACATACCAATTTTTCCTGCGAGGTATTATTGAGATTGTCTTGAATAAGATCAACGTTGATTAAAACCTTACTGAAAAAAAATATAGAGCAAGACACAATGAGGTTCTCTTTTTAATTACAGCCTCAGCAATACAAAGCATTTTTCATGATACAAATTTTACTAGATTACTACAAAATCCTGGAGTCCGATACATGCATGAACAAGTGATCAAATGGTGTTGGCCGAGAAAAAAGCGAGAGCCCCAACCAGGGGTGCATTGATATAAGTCGCAATCTCCGATTGCTGATAGTTATAGCGATTATCAGAAAACCGGTCGGACCTGTCGGGTCCTCCGACGATGGCTCCGACCAAGATATTCGGGTTTGGAGCAGAAGAATGGTAGTACCGATAGCCGTCGTTGCAGGAAATACGTTGAGGGTGATCGTGAATGGAAGGCAGAGAAGAACCCCTGTGATGAATATTCTTTGGATATCTCTCTCCAAAACCCACCATGTAAGACATGTTCGCTGGGTTATCCCCTAATATGTAATCAACTTGCTTTCTGGCCAGTCCGATGAGGCTCTGTGCCGTCACGGTGGAGCCGCCGCACCGGACTCTGATGGAGCTCAAACTCAGATGCTTCGCGTACGTCAAGAGCAGCAAGCTAGTGGATGTAACATACTGCAGATTGGCCGCGCTGCCTTTGTAAAGAAGCCCACCTGCAAATTCATCACTTCAGTTATTTCAAGTTGAAACAATATGCATATCAGGACTGCTTCTCCTGACCTGGAGTGTACTGAGCCTGGAAACCTGGCGATCCTGCTACGAGAGAACATATGTAATTGTCAGCGTGTGCTTTATATAGTTCCAGTTCTTGGTTGTTCTTCTCCAAGAATTCCTGTCACAGTATTTATGCATGTTATCAGTTTTTGAGCCTTGGATAAAGAAAGGAAAGAAAGAAAAGCTCATTATTAAATACCTTGGAGAGCAATACTCTAGCTCCTCCTCGCTTGTCATCCCAGCTGAAGGAGTAGGCATCATCATCTGCGCCTAACACGTGGCCGTTGGACTGTATATAACTCAGATAGGAACTACTTCCAGAGGCTTTGTATATCCACGATGCCCCCCACAGAAGCTCATCCTGATCACAACCCATATATTATATGTTGGTAAATGTTTGAGACGGAGCTAGGTTGAGAGCGAGACGATGCGTGTATTTAACTTACGTGATATCCAGAGTAGGAGCAATAGAATGGGCAGACCACGGAATTAAGAGAGTCACTATAAGATCCCCTGTAAGTATCTGCAAAATTGAATACCTGAAAAGAGAGTCACAAGATGAGATGTAGGTATGCATTAAAATAAATAACGGTCACAAGTAAATGAGAGAAGGCAAGTGTGTTATTTACTGTGATGGCGGCTTCAAGTAATTTGGAGGAATATTGAGGGTCGGATTCTTTGAAGACTAAAGAAGAAGCTGCCAATGCAGCAGCAGTCTCGCCGGCCACATCTGATCCTGGGTCTTGAGGGGTCACCTTGTACACGTTTCTAGGAGTGTCCATGTCCTCTGGCCTTTCCCAGCACTTATGGTCCATGTTAGCCTCTCCCACCTGCGCACCGACAACGTAACTCCATCGATCAATTCATTTTCTATAACTTAATCAAGTACAGTAAGAGTGGCTCGCTTACTTGGACGTATAATGTATCAGGAGTGGAAGTGGCTGCTTTAAGGAGGTAATCAGTGCTCCAGCGGATGGCAGCTCTGGCATTATCAATCTGGTCATGCATGGAGCTTCCGAATTCAAGGACACTCCATGCCAATAACGTTGTAGTAAATGCCATTGGAAGCCCGAACTTGACGTTGTCTCCTGCATCATAATAACCCCCCACCAAGTCCACCTGGACCTACCAACCAAACGCGTCAAGCGTTCTGACTCGAGAGACTAGAAAATAGAAAGAACGTATATGTATATGTATATGTATAGACAGACGTGATAGGAAGAGCCATCGGACAAGGCAGAATCGGCCCTCCAAGTGAGTTGCTGGTTGGAGGGTAATTTTCCAGAACGCTGGCCTTGAAAGAAGACAATGGATTTCTCAAGAGCTTCACGGTATTGCAAGGAAGTGAATGCATGAGCAGGTGAACCTAATGAAGAAGAGAGAATTATTAACGAGAGGCATAGCCGCTGTACTGTGGAGGGAGAGGTAGAAGCAGACATTGGTAGAAGTGTGTGGAGAAGATAGTAGATGTGTATCTGATTTGAAGTGAATATTCGTGAGAAGAGGACGGCATTTAATTTATAGACATGGAGAAGCTGAAGGACGTAGGATATATATATATATATATATATATATCAAATTCAATATTAAACCCATACATACATGGATCAAGATTATCTCCATACCCTCTTACAATGCACCTCTCAAACTTAATCATATTCATTTATTTAATTATTTATTTTATTTGGTGTTAGATTGTTGATTATGGCATTAAAATAAGTATAAATTTATTTTCAAAAGCATTTAAAAGATAATAATAAATAATACATTTATTTTATTGTCATAATTAGTAGATATTATTAAATCAAATGAATGATTAAGTTAATAGATGTTTGAGTAGTGAGAGATAAATTGAGGGAGTACCAAGTATTTCGTTATATAAATCCTCACGAATCCTAGTCGGCGACTTTTGGAGAACGTAACCTTTTGTGTATCTGAAAAGAAATGAAGGACTCCAGAAAGCTAAGAATGGAATATTCTTTTGAAGTAAATTAACGATTCCCATGAATACCGACGGAGTCTTGTTGCTGGAATTTAAAAGTGGGTTGAAAAAAAATATTGTTTAATTTTAAAATTTCTAATTGTGATACAATACTAGTTGATATTCACCCAACCAAATGTGATGTCTGCTTTAAAAGGAAAAGGAAAATTAATCATTTAGTTTTATAATTTTAATTTAGTTATAATTTAATCTTTAAATTTTAATTTATTGTAACTTAATTCTTAAAATTTTAACTTGATTGTAATTTTGTTCTGAAACTTTGACTCTTACAATCCGGTCATTATATTTTTAATCATTTAAATATTGGTCTTATATTTTAAAAAATAAAATTATAAAAACTAAAATTATGTTAAAATTTATTACTAATATTTTAAATTACTAAACCCATTTAATATTTATAAATATTAAAATTTTAAAATATTTTTAATTTTTATATTTTTTTAAATATAGAAACTAATATTTAAATAGTTAAAATTATAAAGATTAAATTACAAGAGGCAAAGTTTAAGAATTGAATTATAATCAAGTTAAGACTATAAAAATTGAGTTATAATGAGTCAAAATTTAAGAATTAAGTTACAATTGAATTAAAATTATATGAACTAAATGATTAAATTATCCAAACTAAAATTTTTATCCTCCTAATGCAAAACCAAACATGCATGCCATCTTTAAAAGCCAAAGCCATCGGTTAAGGATGGCAAGGGGTTAATTAGCTTCTCATTGCTTTTGGACTGCGTTTCATCTACCTTGCTCCTTTCTTTTTTAACTTTCCAAATTTAAATCTAAAAAAAGGTTGGTAGCTTGCTGGCTAAATCATCCCCATAATTTTTTTTTCTCTTTTTAATTATGGAATTACTTTTTTTAAGCTTCCATTGTTCCACGGAGTAGCTCTACTATTGGGTACCTATTTCTCAATTATTATTCTGATGTTCATTGGCCCTGCCCCCTTCATTATTATGAAGGACGTAATGTTGTGTTTTCAGTTGCTTGAAGCAAACAAGGATCGTCTCCACAGTTATAAAATGCCATATATTTCTCTATCCAATGGAAAAGGCAAACGGATGTTCAAATGCTTCATAGTATAATTACAAATAGATTGATGGCTTTGTAGCTAAGTAGCATGTAAATTTCCTTGCAAGTAGAAGGTTACAGATTCAATCTCACTTCAAAAAATTATAATCACAATGGCCAATTCTCAAGGTCTTTTAGTCCATACTAATTTGGATCAACTCCCATATGCTCAACTGAAAAAATGGCCCTAATACAACATATAATTGATGGCCTAGGCCAACCCACTAACACGGTTCATTTCCTTTCTTCTTTTTTCCCTGGAGCCATTACACTCAGTGGATAGCAACTATCAACTTTTTTTCTTTCTTTCTTCCTCTTTGATTTCTTGGCATTAAATCTGTATTGCAAACGTTGATTTGGGATAAATTGTTGAATGAAAAGTCAAGAGTAGTTATTCTCTTCCATCATTGTCTTCACTTTCCATCCCTTTTCCCCAAATTTGAACACTAAACCGTCAAACATACGAGTCCATCAAAGTAAATTACATGCCCAGAAGTCCTGGTGGTCTAGAGTTGTTAGACTGCAATCCTAAAATGTTCAGTCCACTTCTTTGACTTCGGCTGAGGCCTGAGAGTCATACTTCACTTTAGTTTGATTAAAGAATATGTTTCTTTATTCTTTAGTGTCTTTTTTTTTTTTAATCAAACCACTAGATATCTAGAACATTAAATTCAGATTAATCTAAGTCGATCCGAGAAGGATTATAAGGGCGTCAAATATTTAGTGGAGTACTCTCAATTAAACTGGAAATCTTTTAATCATATCACATGTAAATTAGCTAAACGCCGAAAAACTCGCATGACCATACTCAATATGTCTGTGTATCCGCAATTCAATTGCTTGAAGCAAACAAGCATCATCACTACACTACAGAGATAAAATGTCATACATCCCTTTGTACCACAGAAATTAATACAAGTAAAAAAAAAAAAAAAAAGCCCAAACTTATACACCAGTGGATAATGCTTTACAGTATGATTGCAATATATGGTGTTGAATACTAAGGCTCTCATTTATTTGTGACTCTAATAACTATTTGAATGAAGAAGAAGAAAAACCATACATATAGTTGGCAATGCACACGATATCTGGTGATGCACAGCTCAACTTAGAAGGAATATGTGCTCATGCTCGTAGTTTAGGACACACAGAAGAGTTTGGATTTGCCACAGAGCCTGCAAGTTATTGATCATTTCTGTAAGAAGCTGAGATCTCTGGTTGGTAGCACAAAAGTGGGGTCATACTTACAGATTTCAGCATAACAAGGTTGCTTAGAAACTGGATCCTCTTCAAATGGAGGTGGGGCTTGCCCATATACCATCTCACAACTCATGTCTTCAAAATCTGATATCAAATCATTGTTAGCGGAAGAGAGCTTATCATGATTATGTTCGAACCTAAAAATAAGCAAGGCCTAAAAGATAGGCCCAATGCCAGAGCGTTTCACTACATACTGGGGATCATTGTTAGCGGGAGTCCAAATTCGTCATTGAAAAAATCTTGTGTTGGAATTTTGCACATGTTGACACACATGCCGACGCATCCACTGTTCTCCAGGTACCTTGATAAGAAAAATAACAGAACTGTTACGAGGGTCTCAACCTTGTACAAACATCAAATAGCTACTAATTTTGTTTTCACTTGATTCCAGTACCTGCACTTTTTTATATGTACACCACTTTTTTGCTTCATCCCATTTACCTCTACTTCAACAACCTAATGCATCTCAAGAAGTTGAATTTGAATATCAGTGACAGCATGCAGAGTAGTGAGAGAGGAAAATTAGGACAAGTCGAAATAGTAAAAAAACCATTGAGTACCAAAGAGTTAGCTAACACTAGTTGGTAATTTGAGCCAAGTTAGATGGGCCATCTCAAACCCATCTAAAAAATTTAAAGCCAAATTCAAAAAAAAATTATTTTTTAAATGTTGAGGCATATTCGGGTAGCCCGAATAGACCTGAGAAAATTCGAACCAAGCTCGATCGAGTTCGAGCTTGGCCCGGATACCTGAATAAAAAATAAATTTTAAAAATATATAAAATATAATAAATATTAATTAATTCTTTAAGTTTTATATCATTTTATACTAAATACTATATATTTAAATGCATTACAATAATTATTTTTCAAAAAAATAAAAAATATTTATATTTTCATTATTTTAATCAACAAAATATCTCAAAATAATATTTAAAATATATTTTAATATTGATTTTTTAATTTTAAGACCCACTTTTTTAAAAAAAAATTTGAGTTCTATATATCATTTGTGAATCCAAAAAATTTATTTTATATTTTTTATAAAATAAGATAATTAATTTTAAAGTAAAAATAAAAATAATATTGAAAATAAAATTCGGGCATGTACAAAATTTTAACTTTACTATTAGATAAACATAATAAATAGAATAATATTCTTAGATAATTATTTGGTTATCATTCATGCCAAACTTAGTTAAAAATTAGAGTAAAAATCCCTTAATGTAAGGGTTAAATAATATAAAAAGTTAAAGAAAAAAACATTAAAAAAATAGTATTTTACTCATAATTAAATGATTATAATTTATATAATATAATGATGACTATTTTTTTTATATTCTTAAAAAATAAAAGTATGATTTACCCAAAAATAATTAAAAAATTTGAACTAATCAATACAATAATTTTAAATTAGTAGTCTAACTATAATTGAATTGAGATTAACTTGATTATAATTAAAATAATATAATTTAATTAAAATACATAAAATATTTATATATGATCATGATAAGAGTAATATTTAAATAACTAAGATATTAATTTACAAATAAAGGAAACATTTATAAATAATTACACATAATATAACAAAATGATAACAAAGCTAATTAAGTATAAAGTTGATAAGTTATTATTTTTTATTTTATTCTTTTAAATTTAAAATAATATTTTATACTTAATAGGATCATTTAAAAACTAAAACTAATTCAAAAGATAAAAAAAAAAATATTTAAAAAGCTTTGGATATTCAGGCCAATCCAAATAAATACGAAGGCAAATGGTGTTAGGACTAAACGTGGTTATATAAGCTTTTTAAAAAGGACAGGATACTTTAAGCCTGACTTGAATTGAGTTCAATCCGAATAAATCCAATTAGTCCATCTTTTGTTACCGTGCGGCCTTGATAAACGTAAGTATGCATTATAAAGTGTATGTCTCACATAAGCCGGTGAAACTGATAAATTTCAAATGAAGTTTACTAACACATTTTCATGAAGACCAGGAAAGTTCAATCAAAACGAACAAGGAAAACTAACCCAGAAGAAAGGACTAGGAGCAGCAGCAAAATGCTCTGCTTTTTGACACACATATTTCATGAGAGAGTGTTATAAATTGATCAAGCAAACATCAAAAGATGAACAACTCCCCGAAAATCAAGAAAACAGCTTTAAAGTTTCAGCTTAACAAAAAGATATGATCCTAAACAGACAACCATAAGCCTGACATTACTTAAACGCCCAAAAAGTTCAGCCAACTACGAGAAACCTTTGGTTAATCAGCATTTTTGCCTCAAACTAGGATACAAAGAGCAAAAAGACTAGACATAAATTTCAGCCACAACAGCAACCACACTAACATCAACAGAGACTAGGTAGCATGCAAGTTGAATCCAGAATGATGTGATAGTGAGGCAGGGAGATGAAAAAAAAACCTCAGAAGGGCCAACTAGCCAGTGGAAGAAAGGGACAGTCAAGGCAGCATTGAACTCAGCAGCCCACTTAGTGGGTGGGAATAATTTCCTGAACTAGAGTAACAGTTAATCAGGAGGAGATTTCACAGGAGAAGAAAGCACAAGTGAGAGAAAGAGAGAGAGAACAAAGAATGGAAGGGAATTGGAAACCTGAGCAGGAGCACCAGGAGGAAGCATGGACAAGAGCACCTCTCGAACTACTTGCTGTTGCTGAAGACGAGACCTCCCCTGCATCACCCTCCTTGACACATCCACGAATGACTCGTAGTCATAGTCCCACAATCCCAACCCTTTCTTCTTACCGTCATTGTTATCAGTGTCAGGTTTTGGAGAAGCAAACTTTTCCATCTTGCGACCGAAAAGACCCATGAATACCTTCTCGAAAATACCGTCATTGTAGCGAGTCTTTTGGCCCAACGGGGCCGTTTCGCCTGATGGCTCAGCAATCCCACACCGAACCGCTCCCACAGGTCTCGCCCCTTGCCGATGGGGATATCGGCCGGCATAAGTACGGCCAGTCAGCTGCAGTCCCTGGAAGCTCAGAACCGCCATGAACCCCCGACTGCTCACTTCACAATACTACGCTTGGAAGTGGGAAATGGGAGCCCATGTTTAGTCAGTTTAGATAGGCTTCCTTCCAGGTGTCACCAACGCTCCATCTCAACCACACAAAATGCGTCTTCTCTTTCGACGCCACGCTGCTTCCGCATTCCTTCCAAGTTCCAACAAATCAAAGCCAGCCTCAGGTTATAATATGAGTTTTTTTTTTTTGTAATTGGGCCTGTTTGGTCACTGTCACAACTCAAAATCCGGGCCTTTCATTTCACATTTCGGAGTTCGCTAATTTCCCAGAGACTTAGAAGTTGCTTGCTCGTGACGTGAACCCATGTCAATTTGCCCAACCCAGTCCAACCTAGTCCACTTATTTTGAGCCGTAGCAACAGATACATGGCCGCCTAAGGCCACAGTCACAAGCATCACAAGTTTACATAACCCAGGATTTTCATATCTATGACTATAGATTGGTTCATTTTGGGGTGATCTCTGCCATTAATCAAATCCAATGGTCTAAAGAGGCTTTGAATGAATCTCAACAGCCCAGAGTCGTTGGTTTCAATGATGATTAGGGATTGGATGGCCAAGTAGAGGAGATCAGTCTCTCAAAATGTGAGAAACTAAATTTAAATTTTTGTTAAGAGATATGCTTATATTTAATACTTAATAATATCTCAAATAAAAATGCCTTTAATAAGAGGACACATGTGAGTAACAAATCAATCATCTTTAAAATTTTAATATGCATATTTCACATTTCATGTGTTAATATTTATTTTTTTAGTGTTGAAAATATTAAAAATGATTATTGAAGAGATTAAAGTTAAGTATTGAAAACATAAAAAGTACCCAATATCAATATTGACAGAATTAAAGAAATTAAAAGTATTAAAAACAAGAAACATAACAGATTTTCATTTTATTTTGTTTTAAAAAATAATTTTAAAAATTATATCACAAAACAATTTTTAAAAACAATAAATGAGAATAAAAACCAAACATGCCCATAAATATTAAAAAATATTGACTTGAAGCCATGTCAGCGGTGAGTAGGATTAAAAAATCACATGCCACGCTGCCAAGTCACCCACAACACATCACCATTCACCCCCTCCTCCTCCCTTTAAGCTTTCTCTCTCTTATTTGTCTCTCATGGTTTGTTTATATCTACCTTCTCATCCCTTAATTAATGAGAAATTTTATGATTAATCCATGAATAATACTTCATCAAAAACTCTTGCATGTTTTAAATAGTCACTACTATAAAAAAAAGCCCTTCAGGAGCGCTTATTTTTAAGCTATGAGAGTGCTTTTAAAGAGCTCTCATAACTAGCACTCTGAGATACACAGGAGCGTTAAGAAAGTGCTCCCATATGTAGAGCATAAGGGAGTGCTTTGTGGGAAAGCATGTAATATTTTAAATTTTAATCCTATGATTAACTAAGCTTCATTATGTTGATTAAGTAAGTTATGGTGGTATGTGATTAGGGAGGTCTAATGACTAGTTTCGATTATGTTTTAGCCCTAATTGTTGGTCCAGTATGAAGACAAGCCACTTGGGCATATAAAGGAGAAGAAAATAAAGAGTTAGTGTTGCTGTGCCACACCCGCAATGCACAGACACAACTAATGTGAGAAAGGGGCCTCTCTGTGCCATGCGATGCACAACTAATTTCTGCAGCATTTCAGTCGCCAACTTAGACAGAAATAGAGAGGAGAGAAAGGAGAAAATGAGGAAGGCATATCATACTTTGTAAGGGTTTACTCTTGGACGACATTGGATGTATTTGAAAGCTAAAACACCTAAGGTAAGTATCCTAAATCTCATTCATCCTATTCTCTTTCACATTTATGAGGTTTATGGTTAGCATTTGATAGTAAAAGATGATTTTTTGTTTATATAGGTTATGGGTCTGAATCCATTAACTTAAATGGAGTTAATAGAAGTAGATTATAGTATCTAAACCTAGATATATTGAGTTTTGATACTTTTAGTGGTTGAGTCTCATCATTATGCAAAAATGACATTAATGAGAGTTGTTGGAAGAGTATGATGCCATTAATGAAAGTTTAATAGCTCATAAATGTTAATGGAGACTAAAAAGAGTTAATAAATCTATTGGATGGGCCCAAACTCATACAATATAGGCATTGAAAAGTCTAAAAAGGGGAGAAAAGAGTTGAAAAGTATGTGTTTGACCATGTTGAAGAATCCAACAATTTGTAGATTATAGATTAAGCTCTTGGACACTATTGAGGCTTGGGAATTCAAGCTTGGAAGCTATCAATATTGAAGGAACAAATCTTTGACCTTTCAAAGATTTGAGATAGTTGGAAGAACTCTATTTTGAATAATTATATATTAATTGATTTTTAATTGTGGATTGTCACATGCACACTTGCGGCGCTGCATGCAAGTCAAGGGCAAATGCACCCCCTAACTTTAGAGAAAATTATAAGAAGGAGGTGGTACATTTTACTACTTTGCAACTTTTGACTTAAATATTTTGCACCTCTAACCCAACTTTAAAATGATTGAGTTCTAAAAATTTTTTAAATATATTTAGTTGAAGTCTAAAAAAATTGAACCCAAAAATTTAAAATCATTAAACCTAAATATTAATTTTATTTTTCTTAAAAAATAAATTTATTATAACATAAACTGATTATTTTAAGGATTAAGAGAAAAACTAACCTAATAATAATACATAGAAGGATGAGATAGAGAGAGCTTGAAGTCATCGTCGGTCTACACTGCATCTCTCTGCAGAACGGGAAGAAGAACCAAGCATTCAAGAGTCGATCGAAGTCTCAAAGACGTGCTGCTTGTGCTTAAGTTTGATGAGTACTGAAGGCTGAAGCTAAATAAAAGAGTGAGAGAGAGAGAAAAAATTAGAAAGAGTAGGAGATAAAGCAGCAACTTTGACCAAAAGCAATCCCATTCTTATCTTGGTAACATCGCTAACATGTGTGTCCTTCTTTCTTTCTACTTTAACTACATTAAGGAACTCACAAAATGCAATTTTCTCTTTCTTAGATAGCGTATAAGCTGCCGGAGGAAGAAAGGTACGGTTCCCCTTATCTTGGGGTGCTAATTCTTCTCTTATTCCTAAAGAGACCATGTCCAACCTTGCTTTTATGCCATCTTTTATTTTTTCTGACATTTGGAGTAAAGTTCCAATAAGACTCTCACAGACATTTTTTTCAATATGCATGACATCAAGAAAATGCTGAACATCCAAGGTGGTCCAATAAGGGAGTTTAAAGAAAATAGATCTCTTCTTCCATTCGGTTGTCCCAAGGTGCCTTGCAAATGGTTTCCAAATTCAATATCCAAATTCTTAATCTTCTTAAACAACTCATCACCAGTTAACGGCAAAGGTGTCTTACCTTCTTCTGGATTTCCATTGAACGCTTTTCTCAACCGCCGATAATGATGTTCTTGGTGTAAAAACCTACGGTGGCCGAGGTAAACATTCTTCATCCCATGTTGAAGCCTTATAGAATGTGTTCCCTCTTCACAAATAGGGCATCCAAGTTGCCCTTTAATGCTATACCCTGACAGATTGCCATAAGCAGGAAAGTCATTGATTGTACCAAAGAGCATAGCTCTTAAATTAAATCTTTCTTCTCTATACCCATCATATACCTCTATACCTGACTCCCACATGATCTTCAAGTCATCAATTAGAGGAGCCAAATATATGTCTATGTTATTCCCAGGTTGCTTGGGTCCCGCAATTAGCATGGACAACATCATATACTTGCGCTTCATGCAAAGCCATGGAGGAAGGTTATAAATCACTAAAATAACTGGCCAAGTGCTGTGGCTACTACTTTGAATCCCATAAGGATTCATCCCATCGGTAGACAATGCAAGGCGTAGATTCCTACTCTCTTCCCCAAATTCAGGATACTCATAATCAATCTTTCTCTATTGTGGAGAATCAGCAGGATGACGAAACATGCCATCTTTTATCCTTTCATTCGTATGTCATGTTAAGTTTTTTACAATTTCTGCACTGCTATACATGCGTCTAAATCTAGGCAGACTATTCATTCTTTCATTATAGAATGAACAATTATTTATAATCTTGTGTTTTGTCATTTAGTGTGGGGTTTGGAATCTTCAAATTTGACTCTAATTATATGCTTGTATCTTGTTTGTTTGTGTACTTGCAAATTATAAGTTCAAATTGCCAGACCAGAAAGAAAACAAAAAAAAATCTGATTATAATGATATTGAAAAATTAATTTCTGAATCGTATGAGAGATCCATTAATAAATAATTGTATAGTGACTTATATTGAAAAAGATATTTTTCTCAATATTGACAATGAGACAATGATGCCAAAACATAAAGTCACATAGGGCACAATTGTAAGGTATATACACACTTCTTTTTTTTTAATTACTAAATTATTTTTAAATTATTAATTTTAAAATGTTGTACCCCCTGACCTAGGGTCTTGGCACCGCCACTACATATGCATGAGTTAATTTTAATGTGAAAGTATGTTAATACTTTTGATCTGTGTTCTGAAAATATGAATGTACATGATGTTATATTTGGCTTGAACTGCGAATGCGAAATCAAGATAGTTTTCGAGCTATAAGCATGCATATACTTTTAGAAAAATGAATGTGATATTGAGTTGAGGTAAATGTGGGTTAATAAAAAAATGAAATGTTGTGATAATGAGAATAAAGTAGTGACTGTATGTGAAACTTGTAATATCCTCCTTCTTTTAACCCTGATTAATTCCAAATCTTAATTAATAAAGAGATTGGCTTAAAATAATTAACATAATACTAAGTTACAAATGGGTGAAAAAGTTAGGATCCCAAGTATTCAAAAACTAAAATCATTTTCAAAGTCTTTAAAATAGATAAATTAGAGTTCACAATTATGCAGAAGTATGGGATTATTTCAAACATGAATGTATTAGTAAAAGAATTTGAAAACAAAATAATTATGCAAAAATTTGGGGCGTGCACCGCAGCGTGTTTGCCTCTATGCCATTTGCCGCTGCGCATTGCCTGAT